ATTTAGATTTTAGAGGCAGAGGGAAGAAATAAAAAAAAAAAAAACATGCCATTGAGATGACAGGGAACGAGTCCCCTTCAGCACCCAGGCTAAGTAAAGGAGATTGAGCGATGTCGTGACTATGTTGTTACCAAAGCAGCTTTCATAAGAAAAAAAATAAAATAAAGAGAAAAATGTCTTATATGCATCTTTTTGTATGACATGTTGAGCTTTTTATAGATTTTTTTTCCTTAATCAATTTGAAGTCAGTCTGGGCTTACTGGGGTGAGAACAATTAAGTGCATGACAAATAACATCATCAAATTTTCCAGTCTGGAGGTTAAGAATGTGATTTGACGGAGCACCTTTTATCTTCTAAAATAAGATGATACTTGTAACTTTGGTTCTAACAAACTAAAGTAGTTTCTTTTTCTTCAAGTGAATGAACTGTTAACTGTTAACTGTTACATCTCTGCATTTCTGTTTCTGCAATATTTTACAAATATTTCACTCCAAGGACTTCATCGACATGGGTGTTTGTCATTATTGGTCATCTCATCAAGTGCTGCAGGTGAAGAGAGGATCAGCATTTAAAGTGATCTGTCTCCAGACAGCACATGCTAATGCTTTACCATACTGGTCAAGTGTTAGCCTTAGCAAACTGAATGAAGTTAGCCATCTTTAATGTTTTCAAAAAAGTTCACTCTAAAGTTTTCTTTTTATATCTCATGAGAAAAAGAGAAAACAATACTAGCTTCAGGCTGTGCACATTCATCAAATAATGCTAACTGTCGCTAATACTGTATAGGATAGGTGGGATTTTTAAAGTTTTGTTTTAATGCAATATTCACATTCCATATGTAAATTGAGTTATGAGTCATTATAATTATTCCTCCTGTCCATACTGGCCCTTTATATTATGACTGCACTGCGCAAGATGTGGCTAACATGAGGCTTTAGCCGTCTGAGTTAGCAAAATCAAATAGCTTTTTCACCTTTTTTTGTTTGTTTGTTTGTTTGTTTGTTTTTGTAAGCCTCTGTGCCAGTAATAGCCATAGCCAGAGGCATTATGATTTGGGGTTGTCCTGACAGCTGTATGTACGTCTGTCTGTACTTAAGTTTGTCCCATTCTTGTGAATGCGATATCTCAAAAACATCTTGAGGGAATTCCTCCAAATGTGGCACAAATGTCCACTTGGACGTAATGATAAATTGATAAGATTTTGGTGGACAAAGGTCAAGGCCAGTGTGACCTTGCATCCATCTAATTCTCATGAAGGCAATAACTCAAGAAGGCCTTGAGGGATTTTTCTCAAATTTGGCACAAATTCCACTTTGACTCAAGAATATACTGATTAGAATTTGGTGGTTGAAAGTCAAAGGTCAAGGTCACTGTGACCTCACAAAACATGTTTTTGGCCATAAATCAGGAATTTTTCACGCAAATGTCACATGTCTAATAGAATAAAACGATGAAGTTATGACATTTTTTTAAATTTAAAAGGTCAAAGGTCAACTTCAATGTGACAACATAATGTTCTACAAAAACATTTTTCTGGCCATTACTCAGCGTCATATCTCAGGAACAGAAGGGGAGACTTTTGGTCAGATACTGAATTGATGTTTGCGAAGCATCCATGCTTTTTAAAGTTATTAATGTAAACTGTAACTGCAAATTGATCAGTTTGTGGAGGAATACAACTGCGAGGCGGTGACTCTAGTTTTCATACAAAATCCCCTAATTGTGTTCTTTCAAATGCTTTCTTGCTGCAACCTAGCAGAAGGATGTGTCCTGTAAGTTTGTTGCTAGGATGATACAATGACAATAAATCTACGCTACAAACTATACAAAGATACCAACTTGATTTTGTTAATTGAAGAATTGTGAAGTTTATTATTGGCTTCCACTGAACTGTAAATTACATTATAAGTGCATAGGGATTGCTTCATGGACAAATAAATGATGACAGCAATCAATAGCTCTGTCAGCATACATGTAAAATAAATGCCAAACTTGTCCTTTAACATGCTTTATGTAAATGCATTCACATGCCATGTTTTTGATGTCAGTCATATTGGGGGAGGTGACAAACAGTGCTGCACTGAGCAAAACTGGTGTCGCTGGCAACACCCCCCAACAAATTTAGGTGAACTGCATTGCCAGGTCTACAGACCAACTGTTAGCATTATCATTAGATCTTTGGATAATTTTTCCCTCAATTTCTTTCAAATAAAATAAATAAATAAATAAAATATATATATATTTTTTCTGGGGGGTGGGGGGCTCTTTGTGGTGCCATAGAGGCTGTCTGTGTCACCTATAGCAAAATCCGCCACTGGTGACAAAGAATTCCCAAAAAGTCGATGGGGTCCTTAAAGCCATCCATGTGATATTTACTGACCTTGTTACCAGAAATAGCAGCATGCTGTTTTGGAGAACATCTCCCCTGGGTTCCTCGACCTTGGCCATTGAACTGCACTGGTGACCGGACCCTTGTGGCTGTCTCATGCTCCTCATTTTTTCAGTTAGCCCTGTGTCTAGAGCTATTCTTTGCCTTCTGTGTGCCTCATCATATGTTCAAAATCCTCAGGTCCTTAAAGAGCCTTAACTTATCACATGTATATCAAAAACATTAGAAACATAGAACTATGAAGCAGCCGCGGTGATGTTTACATGCTGCTGTGTTGATAGATACTGTATGTGATTGGGATCGGGAGGGGGAGGGGGGGGCAGCATCCTTTGTGCAGTGCTGAGGATACCGAGGTTAGTTTGAATGGCATTCCGCTGTTTCGCATGGGATATTGGCAATATATGAGGCCTGGTGCATTTTTATAGGTGTGTATTCTTATTAAAAGACAATGCTGCTGATCTTTTCCTTTTCCCATAGTCTCCTGATGCCATGTGGGACTGCTGTGCTACAGACGTACAGTGCAGTCTGTATGTAGCTTGTAATCCAGTTAAGTAGTTTGTACTTTGACGGGAAGTGTGCTGTAGGCTACTGGGTCTTGCTCAGAATCATGCATCAAAGATGTGTAATATACTGTTTTGTACACTTCAAATCATTTATATAAAAGAACCTTTCTAAAGAGATGATTTACTTGGTTTTTATGTAATAACTCTGTTTCATACTGTAGCTAACTGTTGCTCAGCATGACTGTGCTTTGTCCTCTATCTTCTGTCCATCTGCAAACCGACTGAATGGCTTTAGGAACATGCAAGGTCCATGCATCCGATAGGTTTGTGTATACTGTATGTGTACCATGAAATCTGAACCACGTCTATCAGCTCCATGTCTATGCTTCTGTCTCAGTCAGCCCTTCTGCGATGTACTGGGTCTACTGTCCATATACGCTCTACATGAGGGTTTCCTCTGTTGCTGTTTGTTGTTTATACTGTGTTAATAAAGACTATTGATTTATAGAACAATGTCAAGCTCTGTTGGTCCGTCCGTCAATACATGTGACCTATGTGAGAACTGGCATATAGAAATAATCTTCCTCTGGACATGGCATTTGTTCAGAATAATTAAATGGCAAAAAAATAAATGAATTTCACAGTCAGTTAAGGGAGGTAGACACTCATTTACCATTTACTAAAGGTGTACTCCAGTCATTTTGTGTGGCAATGGTCAAAACTGAAGCAGCAAAGCCCAGGGTGTGCACGGCCCTGATACAGTTGCTAGGAGGCCAACAATAGTGCTTTAAGCAGCTGTCATTCACTCATTCTTTAAGCTAGCATGGAGATAGTAGTACTAAAGGATGTCTTAGGTTGTCTTATTTCAGAAGATTATATTATGTCGGCATTGCTTGTCAAAAAAGAAGGTTAATAAGGCTCCCAAGGTGGGCTAAATTTTGACAAAGGAACAGCTTGCATGGCCATTTTCAAAGGGCTCCCTTGAACTCTTTGATTCAGAGATTTCTGAATGAAAATGTGTTCTATGGGTACCCACAAGTCTCTTCTAAATCTTGAGAAATGCTTGTTCCCAATATTGTATTGTTCCTTAAAACAATGTTAGCCTTTAAATTAAAGGTGTATAACTGTCCTTTTAAGGTCAAGTACAACCAGCCTATTTGAAGAACAACGTATAGATACATAACACAATAAAACAGCACTGTTGTGGAACTCGGAATGTAAAAACTGTACCCCTATAAGTCTATGCACATCAGACAATTAGTCATATTTACTGTGAAATAAGAAACCAAAGTATATCAGTATGTGATTCCTTAATTCTCCTTACTAAAAGTTCAACAAGCTTATACTTCACCAGCATAATCAACTTTTGGCTTTTGGTTCTGGCATGTCACCCCAAGAATTTTAGTGGCCCCATGTGGCCACCCTGGGGTGCCACTGTACTTCCTATGATGCAACATGTTGCCATCTCATGGTTAGACTCTCTATGCATTGTAAATGACCACAGTTTACAAACTCAAAAGGCTTTCTGTTAAAAATGTGTAGTCAGCCTGGGATAATCCAGTATGACATCAGTATGACATCATCAGGGGTTATTTCCTCAGACTTGATAAAGCTTGCTCAGAGCCACAGAACACATTATACTGCTGCTTTCATGGGTGTAGAAATGCTCCTCATGACTAGTGAACTGATCTTGAGTGGTCAAAGTAGTAAATCTCCTGTATAGTTTTTTCTGACCATTAATAATATGAAAAACTATTGTATTTTCTGTTAATGTGCAAGTACTTATGAGTGAAGTGAAGCAGAAAATGCACTAGATGGCACCAACAGCTCAAAAATAACTTCTTAAAATTTGCACCCCAGTTATATGTGCTGATTTTGTCCATAAGATGGCAGTACAAAACAAGATATATTTCCTTTTGTTTCCTTACAATAACAAAACCATCCATTCCTCTTATATTACAAAAACAATTTATTACATATGATGAATTATTAATATATGAAAGCCATATAATTAAGTAAATAAGAATACATTTTTCCCAAGTTCTTCATTATAGGTAACTGATCAAAATGAAATCCCTCTCCCCTCTTTTTGGAATCAGAGACAATGTTTGAATCATACTGAGACATTTATTTATGCATGTATGTTTTCCATTTAGACTGAATGCAAATACAGCAAATACACACCACCAAGCACTAGGGGAATGTAGAGCAAAAGGCAGTGGAGAATTGAAGGTGGAGGCTAAAGAGCGGAGCAGTTTTGATGCTCTTCACGGAGGGGAAAAAAAGCTCATATCCATAATCTGAACTATGGCAGTTCTCTACCTTAATGGGGCCAATAAATGTTTTCATCTCGCTGAGGACTCAACAGATCGGAATTGAAGAGACTTCTTCGTCTCCGCGCTCAATGTCACATTCTTTACAAGACAGTAATTCACTTTCAAGACGGCTCCTCTTCACCTTGGACGGAGAGGAGAGGTCGCCTCTACATCTGTCTGGTGGTGATTAACAGCACTTTGAGCAGAGCACTGATAACTAGCTCCTGCTCTGATAACAGCAAACATAAGGCACCCATTCATGCTGTCCTTCGGATTATACATACTGCCTCAACTTAAAACACATCCCTGCTCCTGTCAGTTTCTACATAGTTTACAGGATAATACACAGAAGTATGGATATTTATATATAAATACAGGCCCTCCATCCTTCAACTCACCACCTTGCCCACAGCACACAACGCCTCTCCTGATGCCTACAGTTGTTTTTCTTCCATCAGTAGTGTGTCCAATTCTACAGCAAAGATAGGTCATTTTTTTCCCAACAGTTTACAGTATGTGCTGCTATCATTGCAAGCCAAGTGCCTTCACAACAGTCCAGTGTCATATGACCAGAAAATAAAATAAAATAGAATATACAAATAATCAGTTTGGGGAATCTCATTTCCTCAGACACATCAAACAGCAGGTCGACAGTTTCAAGTCGGGACAGGAGGATTCGACGACGAGGGCGACAAAGCCATGGCCACAAGTGTTTGAAAAGCTCCTTTGAATATCACTAACTCCGTGTTATAGGTTTTGGTTACGCTTCGGTACACATGAGAGTTCACAGTTTTCTCCCTTTAGAGGACAGAGGATAAGAATAATGGCTGCTTATTGCAAATCTCACAGGCAGTGCGCTTCACTGCTTCGGTTAACAGTAGCACAAAGTTAACAATGACGGCAACACGGCTAACATGGGTCAGGCTCCATCAGAGGGATTCTTATGTATGATAAGTGATGCATAGTATATTATTAAAGGATACATGTCATGTGACGGGCCAACAGGTTTTGTGGATAGACGGCGCTTCATGTGTGTCACACTATGAGTCTCGGCTTTGTCTGTCGGGGGAACAGGAAGGAGAAAGCACAGGGCCTCACATTCACCACTCCTATAAATACAATTACAAACTCATACAGCATAACTTAAAAGAGTTAATCCAACAGAAAACATAAAAGTACCCACGTTAATCTTGTGGTTTTGAACGTTTCAACCAGTGTTTGTAAACATGCACATGATTTGAAACTGGAAAATTAATTTTTCAATTGGTTTCTGAAGTTGCTGTTTGAAGCTGCTTCGATTATTTTTTTAAACCACAAATTATTTTAAATGTTGAATGAACAGCACACAGGCAACACACATAAAAACCCTCAATTCATTGCATTTCTCCTCATTGCATCACAACTCCTTTCTAGACCTCTCTGATTAACTTGCTGTGTTTCAATGGAGATCTTACAAAGTGACAGCACAAAGAAAATAAAGCTCTTTCACAAAGAGCGGGTTCACACTATAAGACTGAAACGTCCAAAACACAAGAATAACATACAAACTCTGTTTCATGATGGAAGTCAGTAAAATCAAATGAAAACATACCAGCACATCTCTGAAACTTATTAGATAAAACATCGTTTATATTAAAATATCTCTAAAAATCCTATAACTGTGCCCAAAACGTGTGACCAGCATTTCTTTAGGTAGATGGCAAGTTGACGACAAAATGAGAACAGTGAACGGGGGGAATGGGACGAGGACAGTGTATGTTGGAGACTGGTACCAAAGCAGAGCTCCAGCTGTCCACCAAAGTGTCACGCAACTGTCCCTCTTCAGTGGACTCCATCGTGTGTCCACTACTCATCAGCCCAGTGATTTATACAGTTTCTCCTTGGTGCTCAGTCCCATCATCTCTTATGGATTTCAAATGTAGATATGTCTGTGTATGTTTTTTTTCATTCCCTCTGCTATTTTTTAATTGAATCATGCAGATTATAATCATCTGATATTATACATATTTCATAAACAAGCAAACACTGGACATAAATTAGATCCTCTATAGATAAAAATGTAAAAAGCTAATAAGACAGCTGTTGATTATACTGAGGGTGTCACAGCCAGGAGGTGGCAACATCGAGCAAAAGGCTGCCTCTTGCCACTCTGCTCCAACCTCCCCACCCCACCACCAGCATTGTCCCCATCCTTCAACTCAACCCTCCTCTGCTCTTATACCTTATTCATATTATATGTGACAGATGTTTGGTGGCTTTACAAGTGAAACAAGTCATTTGTGAGGGAACGGTGTTGAGGCTACGGGGTTGTGTTTAGGGTTAAAGGAGTCAAAATGTATTCGATTAAATAATATGGAAGTAAAGTTCCAGACAAATGACTCTTACAGAGGTGAAATAAAATAGCTCTGGCCGGGCTTCACTTTCAATCTTGCATCGCCCCACTTGCTTAAACCAAGTGGTAAATCGTCCAATAGAAGACGTTTCCTGTTTCGTAAGGAGGTGGAGGGCTGGGATGGGCCAGGAGGCCGGGTTGGGTCAGAGGCCGAGTCACAGTTGGTTTGTCTAAAGGGACAGGAGTGGAGGTCTACTGCTTCATGGAATGCAGTCTGTTCTCGTGTCGGCGTTTACACAGGCGGGGTAGAGAGTCCTCGTATCTAGGTGGTGGCGTACTGCGGGGGCGGGGCAGGAGACACACAGCTGGAGGATCCTCTCCTGTCCCCCCGTCTCAGGAGCCACCATGGCCGATCAGGACTGCAACAAGACAACAACACAAAAATCATTTATCATCACACATGAAAATGGATGGAAAAGAGACACTGGGCCCCGAGCACAAAGGTGTAAAAGGCCCTCCTACATGTATAAGACACTTAGTGGTCATTTTGTGTCTCTGTAGTCATTTCGTACCTTCTTGTTGATGTTTTGTGTCTTTAATGTGTCTTTTTTGTCCTTTAGTGATCGTTTTGCATCTGCTTGTAGTTGTTTTCTCTATCTTGGTAGTACCTTGATCAACATTTTAATGTGAAATGTTAACAGCCACTTCAAACAGGGGCTCTGGCTCAGGGACACTTAGCAAAGGTGGGACCAAATCATTGTTTTGCAAGTCACAAGTAATTTTTTACCTGCATGTTTTGCATACTGCAGTACAGTTTTTTGTTGACAACCACTCACTATTTGTACGGGAACAAAATGATCGTTGGTTTCATTTTATCCAACTGCTGCTCAGCAAAATAACATTAGTTCTTCATGGCTCTCTCCTGCAACTTGATTGAACGCTGTCGGATTGGTTCAGACAAAGTGGATCTGACGAATTAAGCGTCAACTTGCTGGAAATGAACAGCACTAATGTTAGCTGATTCGGGAGGTGAACTGATACGTGGGACACTTTTAAAATAACATTCTTTTTAGTCTTTTGGCTTGGGGGGAAATTAATTAAGTATTTTCAAGTCAAAAGTTTAAAGTCAAAGTGAAGTCACCACTCATTAGCTTTAAAGTCCAAGTTGTCTTAAGTCATAAAATTTGTGACTGGAGTCTGACTCGAGTCCACACCTCTGTGTCGTGGGCCCTGGACCTGTGTCTGGTAGGCCCATTCAGTAATTAATCCAAACGCACATGATCTAGATAATAGTGATCTTGTAATCTGCACTCTGATGACATGACCAGACAGCCAACACTATAGGAGTCAGTAGAAATACCTCTGCCTGCTGCTGCTGCAGCTCCTCAGTGGGAGACTCTGTTTCCCTGATAACCACTGCTTTTGTCACCAGCATGTCGGGGTGCTGCTGCTTGGCCTCTTGGATTGCCATCGCGAGGGCCTGAGGACATGAAACATTGACGCACAGGTCATAAACCTCACATATTGGCTTCCTGTGCCTTATGACTTATTGAACATACAGTGGAAGTGTTGCAGTATTTCTGTAATACTCCTCCTCACCTGATGTTGGTCCACATCATCGTCTCCTGTGATTATAATCCTTTTCTCGATTCTGGTCTCTGAGTAGCCTCCTTTCACAGTCTGCATAGAAAAAAACTTAACTTTAATGAATCATCACTGGAGTTTAGGACACTACATTGTGTAGTAATTGAATCTTAAATATATTTGTTTTTCTTGTCATTTACACGTCAATAAAAAAATTAATTATTTACATCTATCACTTCTGTTTGTTTCTGTTATCTCCTCCAATATGTTGATAAGGAGGGATGAGACATATTTAAGAGTATACAATAACATACAGATGTGGTGGGCTGACTCCAACCTCCAGTCATTAAACAGTAACCATGGGAACAGATAAGGTGTTACCTTGGTAACTTGAGTTGTGGTTGCTGAGGTGACACTCTCAGCAGTGATGGTCAGCGGGGACACAACAGACTCCCTCCCCTGGATTCCAGCTTTTACCTGCAGCACATTCATTAGACGGGAGTCATATACACATGGAGGGACACACTGCAGACACACACACCAGCACACACATGCTCATGAGACAACATGTAATGTGTCTCAGCTGGGGGGGTCTAAACCTCCCGGGGTGAGTATCACAGCTGGGAATTGGAGGGAGCCTTCTGACATGATACTTCTTTGATGTTATGTGTGTCAGACACTTTCTCATTTCCTTCACGCCACCAGTGGGTCAAACATCAGAGGGACAGAAGCATCCCTCCATTTTACAGGTACTCCGGTGATTTACTATTGCAAACAACTAAAATTGGGGTACTCACAAGAAACAGATTTTTCAAAACATGGTCGGAATTGAAGCTTGAGAGCCCGAAATATCCTGACCTCTACTCCCCAGTATGGATCCAACTCCAGCTCCATTTCCCATAATTTGTCTTTTGTTAGGTCTTTTCTGACCAGTAAATACCTGTGTCACTGAAGAGTTGCACCATAGTGCATTGTGTGGATCCTTGAGCTCTAACCAATGTGTTGAATTATTTGCTTCCTCATAAAACATCTGCAATCCAAGTATTTTAAATCCAGCATTGCTGCATATTTTGGTGAATTACGTCACCTGTACATCAGTGGTATAACCAAAAAAAAAAATAAAAAAAAAAAACTGGCAGAAGTGGGTGAAACAATCTCATAGAAAAGTTGAAGGCTTTCATTAACTTTCAAGCCCTCTGGAAGTCAAAGCAGTACAGCTTATAAACTAAGATCTGAATATATAACAGCAACGATAAATCAGTTCTGCTATGCGGCTCACGGTGCTGGCGAGTGGTTGAGAGTGACGTGAAAAACAATAATGCTTTTCACAATGGATGTCTCTGGAAGATATGCTACATCATAGGGATAGTTTGGATCTTTTGAAGTGGGGTTGTATGGCGTACTTATCCATAGTCACTAGATGTCAGACAGCATGGCCCCGGTTTGGAGAAGCAGGCAGAAATACAGACACAGAAGCTGAGCAGTGTACTGTTGTGGATGGGGGGCAGTGGCAAAATGTACTACCTAAAAAATGTCCTTCCTAAAAAAAAAAAATATCAACATCAGTCGAAGTGTACGCTATACCTAAACCATTTTCACTGCTTTTCCTTAATGTCAGACAGCAATTTCTAAACTGAGGCTATTACTGGTATATCGCTCTCTTCAAAGCCAGGCTCCATTGAGAAAAACACCGATTTAATATCTCTCAATACATGAGCTGCCAGTTTCCCCCGTCCACAGCAGTTCATTATATAGCTTCCATGACAGCACTCCTGCCACTTCTCTAAACTGGGGTGTCCCGACCGACATCTACTATACGTATTACAGTGACTAAGGATATGTACCCCCAGAAAACGGCACTTCAGAAAATCCAAACTATCCCTTTAAGACGGACCCCATCTGGAAAGAAGTAATAAGGGAGGCAAAAAACAACCTGGTGAAGAACTGCGACAGAACTCTGAACTAAAAACGGCTCATCTAACTTGGAAAGAGGCACAGCATGCTGCACAAGATAGTACCAGATGGAAGCAGACAGTCTCAGCCTTATGTTCCACAGGCAATGAAGACAATTAAGTAAGTAAGTACTCATAAAATAACAGCTCTGTAGCTTTGTTAGTGGTCAAGAACTTCATGGAAACCTTCAAGACACCACACTCACAGTATGTTAACAAGTTGTTCACCTACTGACAGAAAATAAAAGTTTAAGAAATAGACCAAATATAATGAGCTCTAATATTGACATAATGTTATTATTCCAGACACTGATAGTATAATGGATTCATCTACTCATCTAAATTTTGGCATCTACGTTCTCAGAAAACTGAGTCATTATTTTGACATCAAATAGAAGCAAGTCTTGTGAACATTTGGCTCTCACACACACACAATTGGTTTTTACTACCGTTATTCATTTTATTATTATTATTCAGAAGGATATGAAGCTAAAGCTACTCTTACCTTTCTTGCATTTCACATAGAAATGCAAAATTTGAACATCCACAACTCCCGCCTCCCTCCAAAGTCCCATCCCCCTCCTCCTGCAACTCCACCTCCCTCCAAAGGCCTACTCCCCCCTCCTCCATTACATCCTCCTTATGTCTATGATAGATGTAGGCGTTGGCAAGGTTAGATACACGGAAGAGGAGAGCGAGTGTAACGTTACAACCAAGACAGTCAAACGCAACCCCGGAGTTTTAAAACTCAACCAGAGTCAGTGATGACTGATGAGTCTTAGAATAAGGTTACAGTGCTAACGTTAGATAGTAGCATTAACGTTACTAGTCAGTGGAAACGCACAAGGAAGATAACGTTAATGTTTCAGAGGCTACGCTACAGTAGGCTAACGTTAGCCATTAGTAGCAACTGGATGCTGTGTTGTCATATATAACGTTATAGCCTTTGTTACATTAGAGGCAAACTAAAAATACCGGTCCAGCAGAAACTCTGCGACCATTTCGACCCTTTTTAGCTCAGTTACGCCAGCGGTTATGTCAGTCAGAGGCCTCCACGTGGGGAAGACAGACAGGACGCTCTGCCAATCATTGCATTCAATCCGAATGCAATGATTGGTGGGCGTTTTCTTAGAACCATATGAGAATGGTATAAGTTTGTATCTCTGGTGGAATTCACTTACATTTTAGTGTGCCATCTGCTTATTAATAGCATTTTAACCTAAACAAAGAAAAGCATAAAATTTCCAGAAGTGTAAGTGTCGCTTTAAGTCCAAGGTCACGTAGGAAGACAGCAACAGACCAGTGGCTGAAGTTTCTTACCCTGCCACCAAACACACATATTGTCACACTGATGTATTTCCTCTGTAAAGATACTTACAGGGGAGCCATTTTCTTTAAGGGCAGCAGGCGCCTCTAGTGGGCTGACCACTCCATAGTTCTGAAAAGAGAGAAAACAGAGTCTTCGTTACTTTCCTGATGTGAAGTAAGTCCAGCTACATCAATATACAATGGGTGATCATTCAAGGAAGCATTACTTCAATCAGTATATTAGAAATACACATCCATAATAAGGGAGCCACACTATATTTGGGTGCCAGGTGAAATCAGCAGACTATAAACACAAACAGACATAGTTGTGCTTTAATACAAACTGGTTGTGGCAAACATGTTAACTAACAGTTACTTGTTTGGAGCAAATATCGAGCAATATCACTCATAAAATGTAAGTCTAATTTTCTCTCTCCTTTTAGACCCCCATCTGCTAAATGCTCCTGTATGTTTACCAGCTAGTCTCTACCTGTGTCTGTCTGCTGTTTGGTGCTGAGCAGGTAGCATACAGTGGGTTTTAAGAGCTTTTTCTCTTAAAACAGCTTCCTGCTGCGGCCAAAAACAATGCTATAAGAGCGGTGAGATGAAACAACAACAGTAAAACAGAGGGGAGCTGCAGATTCAGGCGATAACTCTCACTGCCGGTGACCTCTTTCACATTGTCATAGTGTTTTCACTTTGTCATTTGTACAGACGTCCTGAGAGGCAAGGTGGAACATTTCTGCAGGCAATGTTGGCCAAAACTTAAACCTAAAAGTTTATCTCCTGCACAGGGGATATTGACTACATAGGACTTATTATCTCCTACTGAGGAGACAAACTTTTAGGCTTAATCGTGCGTGGAAACGTAGACGTGTGCTGCATTTGAGTGAACTTTCAGTGCCCTTTGTATGGTGCACTGAGTGCTTCATTCTGCAAAGCTTTCTCATTCTCAAAACAGCTATATTGAGTCTAACAATTCATGTCATACATAGAATATAAACTTAGGTTTCAGTCAACATTTTCCGCAAAAAAAAAAAAAAAAAATATCAATCCACCTTGCCTTCAGGGCTTCCATACATATGATTTTATCACTGCAAGCAACCCCTTTCACAATACACAGTCACTTGATCCAGTTTCTTGTATAAAAATATGGATTGTTAGAGCTTCAAAGACGTCATGTTCCTATCCGTACTGCACACTAATTCTATACAGGATGTATCATATACTGATTGTTACAGCAGTTAGTATGCAAAACTAAAACAAGGCTATAAGAGCGGTGAGATGAAACAAGAACAAGGCCCTTTACCATTTTATACTGACAGGAAATAATACACTATGTGTGACGCAGATCAGTGTCAATTAAACTGCTACTCTGGAGAGCTACTGACAATTCCACTTCACAAAGAGACATCAGAATGCTTTTCCAAAGATTAAATTGCAGTATAGGAGACTAGTGTGTAACAGCACACTCAAAAATTGGCAGTGTTTAGTATGAAACTGTCTGCTTTGATTGATTTTTTTTGTGCCTACACTCCACATACTCAAAAGCAGCTGGGAGTCAGCATGTAGTACAGATCTGGGACCCAATTGTTATAGCAGACATTCTTATGTGTCATGACAGGAAAATAATAGGTGTATTTAATAACCTCACTATACTGATTGCCCATTATTTTGAATATAATATAGATAAATACAATTTAATATTTTATTAATCACCTATAAGGCCATCCATGGTCTGGCTCCAGATTATATTAAGGAACTTTAAACACCTTACAGCCAAGCCAAGTCCCAAGATTCACTGATTAAAGCCTTTAAGGTGTCCCACAAACCAGTTTCGGCGACGGAGCCTCAATTTTAAAACAGCATTTCCCTCAGTGTGAGATCAGCAGACTCAACTGCAGCTTTTAAGTAGATCCTTCAAACTCACTTTTACAAAAAGGCCTCCACTTAGCACTGCTATTATATGGTGTTTTATTATCCTTCTATTGTCATTATATATTGAAAGTGGTCTAAGTATCCTCATCATGTTAGTTTTTTTATATATACACCTCAAAATATTTTGGACATTTATCCATCTTAAATTCATTTCTCATGAGATCATCTCTTATATTGGCATCTTTTGTTGTTATTTCCTTTACTTAAATTTCAACTGCTTTATATGAGCTCTTACCCACATTTTACCGCTATCTGTTTATGGATGTATGGGCTCAGCCACTTTGATATACGTGCTCTCATTCTATTAATTATTGTTTGTCATAAAGGGAGGGCTAATATAGGTTTCTGGGTTTTTATTTTTTTATTCTGTAAATCTTATAATCTAAAAAGTACTTTGTGCAAAGCTTAAAAAGCTGCATAAATAATAATAATACTGACAATAATAATACTAACCATACTACTACTAATAAAAATAATAATAATTATTATTATATCAAATAAAATAACAATAATGATAATATCACTATTATTATTATCATCATTAGCAGTAGTAGAGGTAGTAGTAGTATTGTTAGTATTATTTATTTTATTCTATTTTATTTTATTTATTTATTTTATTTTATTGTATCTTATTTAATTTAATTTCATTTCATTTCATTTTCTTTTTTTATTATCTTATTTCAATTAATTTTATTTTATTCAAGACTGCACTGCAGTTAGTTGTAACAATAGCAGGGCCCTGGTTTGGACTTCTTCCACAGCAGACATTTTGGAATGTCACTGCAGAAAAAGCATGGGCGTTACTGATAATATAAATAACAAGCCCATTCCACTGAGATGAATCTAGTATTGTGCACGCTGGCTCATACTGTTGTGGCTTACTGAGACACTCGGTGGAACCAAGCCATCATTAGCAAATTAGTTTCACCTGTGCTTCTCCTGCTGTGACGAGCCAAAATGTCTGCAGTGATGAAGCTCTTTTGTTGATGCTGGCTCAGTGACAGGGCTCACTGGAGCCATTATTAGTCATGTCATTGGAGCCAATGTCATTAGTAACACCTGTGGTTAAAAAGTCAAAATGTCTGTCTATGGAAGCACAAGCAGGAAACAACAGACACCGCTGCTGGTGAGGTTCAGTGTGTTAACTCGTTGTCTTTTAGTACCTTTGTGATAAAGGGGTAGTTATCGGCGACATGCTAAAAGGTGGAGTCATAGAGTCAGCAAACTGATACAATATTGCTGGGTCAGTTAAAGCTTGAGTGTAATGCATTGAGCAAGGCTGTGTTTTACTGCCTGTAGAAACAATTTTATAAGAGGGGGCTGTTCTATCAAAAACTACAGTCTCAGCTTAGAGCAACTAAAAGGACCTATGGAAACATATCTCCTGTGTAGTATTTAGCCTATTACATCCACATGCACTACCCTCATCTATTAATATCAAAATATTCTAACTGATTAGGTGTCACACAAAAGACACTGTGAAAAATATGATATAATCTCTTTAGCTTTATGTAAGAGGAGTCCTTGCACATTTTTGCCTAATTGAGTTGTCAAAGGCTTTGCACTGACAACATATTCCATAATCATGACTCACAATCAAACCAATAACAGCATGTGTGTACTTGATGAATTTTATATGAAGGCAGTCCTCAAGCAGAACAAATTCCTTTCAAAGTCTGGTGGCACTCAAATTCAAAGGCTGTCACAAACATGCAGACAGCTGGCAGCAGCCGAGTCTTTGTGCTGTTGCTGAGTGCCTCGACAGACGTGACATGGCTCCCTCTGCTGGCTCAACAATGTCAGTGCCAGAGATCTTTGCCTATCGATGACGTCAACTTTCATTCACTGCAGAGGCACACTCATTTTTTCCCCCCAAAAGATGTCTTACTCTGATGTCTTCAGAAAATTGGACTTAACACTGATCTGGCACTTCAAAGGCACCCACTCCACATCATTGCCTGAGTTCATCCACACCATTAGCTGAATGGCTAAAGAGCCCTGCAATGATTACATTTTAATAAGGCACCTGTGGGATAGTCAGCCAGCACTCAAATCTTTGCCTCTGGAGATGAATGGTATTCACACCTGCTTTCATCATCCTCATTAATACACTGTCAATACTTTAATCACTCCATAATGATCCTATAATGTCATTCCTGTCTGGGGAATATGGGCTTCATGTCACTGAGGCCTAGAGAAAATGTTTCCTCCTCTAATCAAGACCAACTCCACAGATCTGCAAAAACATTTTTTACTAAGTCTTTTTTTTTTTTTTTTTGAGTGACTGAAGGGATTGATCCTATGAGTACTGTTCTCACTTGCCCTTCCTATTAATGCTGTAGCATGAAATGTACCTGCATTATTATCTATAATAATGACAGAAAGAAGGAACAAGAGCAAACCAAAAAGGAATATACGATGAATTTAAGTTTACCAAAAGTGAAAAAACAGCACAGTCCATAAGAACATTAAAGAAATAGTTGGACATTTTGGGATATACGTTTATTCCTCGGTAGCATTAGATAGTATGATACCACTCTCTTGTCTGTTGGTGAAATATGAAGCTATAGCCAGCAGCAGGTTAGCTAAGCTTACCATGAAGACTAAAAATAGAGGGAAACAGCGAGCCTGGCTCTGCCCGATTGAAACAATATCTGCTCACCAGCACCTCTAAAACTCACTGACTAACTTGATACATCTTCTTTGTGAGATTCATACAAAAACAGAAGTGAGGAAACAACAGCACCTGGCCAAGAGAATTCATCTGGCACATTACAGCCTCTACAACCATAATATATAATTTTTACACTTTGGTCTTTGTATGGATTAAAAAGAACAAGATGTAACTTCATTAGTGAGATTTAGAGGTGTTGGAAGGTGGATTTTGTCACTTTCAGGCTTCTAAGCTAGCAGCCTGGTAAAGAACATTGAACAGACAAATATGACAACGATCAATCGTCTCATCTGAGCAAATACCTTCCAAAATGTCAAACTATTTCTTCAACAAGTCTGAATAAAAACATGCATCTGACTTTAAAGGGATACTTTTTGGTTGAAAACTTAAAGCGAAACTTTCAATTTTCAACCAGCTTTGCATCATAACAATGTGGGTAGTATGTGTAAATGAAGTATGTTAAATTTTCATCCATCTTGCCAGCGCCCAGATCTCCCTGCTCATTTGCAAGCTAAAATCTGCCGGACGCTGGCTCTAGGGCTGCTGCTCAGACTACAGATTGTACTTGCGCATTTTAATATGCCCATCAGCACGACAGAAAGAGTACAGAAGGGGATTGAGTTTGAAAGAGAGAGACACCTCTCTCTTTCAAACTCAGACCAAACTCAGAAACTGTAAAACTACACAGTGCTGATAGAATTAAAAAAAAAACAGTCTGTAACTGTGTTGCCTCTTGCTATTTCCTGTAAACACAGGCTGATAAAACTGAGATCAAACAGTAAAAATAAGCAGTGTTGATCAAATAAGAACCAAGATTCTGTTAGTATGTTGCTTATTTCACACCTAAAATATTTTCAGAAACATATTTTAGTGTACTGTTTCACTGTAATACGAGTGTTTGTTATTAGCCAGCCATCATATTGTTTTTGAACAAGCCGAAACCAACATGCATTAAATGACCCATCAGCAGGAGCACTAACTGGTCTGGTGTGACAGTGCATTCTTGTAGTTGTAGGTTTCTTACCTCATGGGCAAAAGTGAATGCCACAGCCATTTTTCTCTGTTTTCTCTGATCATATAGCACCAATTTCAAAAGGATCTGCCTCTTTATACTGCGTAGAAGGCCCAGTTTTATGAAAAGACCATCATTCCAGGAGTAAAACACTTTTGTTAGTGCACTAAAAGCAGTAAAGATTATAGTTTACCGAAATAATGTTTGCAAAAGAGTTTATGGTAATAGTAAGGCCCGCTGCTATTGTTGATTATCATTACACATGCAGCAAATGACAATAAAACAAACAGTGATAAACCAAAGGCAGCAGATGTGTGAATCTACAGCAGCACATTCTACATGACACTACAGTAAGGTTTGCTTATATTGTTATTGTTGCTTTACCTGCGGTGAGACATTCATGATGTTGGGGTGGACCTCCGATCCGTTCGTATGTGTCTCCGTCTTAGAGTCAGCCCTCTTCAGCATATGGGCCATGCTCACAGCATTGGGATCTTTCTTTGCCACAGGAGGCTGTGTGAAACACAAACAGTACAGTTAAGCCAAACATCGACAACATGTCTTAACAGAAAGCGGCGCTTTGCTAACGAGCAGCATGTTTTTCAGAACAAAGCATTTGAAAACTGCTACTTTAAAGAAACAAATACTGAAGTACAATGGTTTTTATTGGACTATTCAGCTTGATGACAGCGTGCAAATGATGATGCAGCAGGGAAGTCAAAGAAACACAAATAAAATGAGTGAAAAACTCAAAACTTAATGCATCAAGAAAGAGAACAAGACATGTGAAGTGTGAAACAAAATTGAAAAATTAAAAAAAGTAACAAATTCAAACAATGGCAAATGGTCCAACGAAAAACCAAAAAAAAAAGCTGCAGGAGGTTATGGCACCAAGTCCAGCCAGGCAGGGTGAATCCAGTGGGTGATGATGAGGAAGGACGAATACATTCATCTGTCTACCTCATGATGTGTTCTCTCCTCTGGGAGCTTTTCCTCTATGGGAGACTTGTCCCGGGAGCCCATTAGACGTGCAGAGTAGAACCTGGAGGTCTCCTCAAAGTCCTCCCGGCCCACCTCGGGCTGTCGCTCCCTCTCTCCCAGCTCTGACATGCCCTTAGAGAAATCCTCCACGCCAGAGTGGAGGTCCATGATGACGGTGAAGTCGACCTCGGCCTCCAGGCTGGACGTGGAGCTGACCGTCATACTGGAGCACTTGCGCTCGATGCCGAGGTGAGTTTCCCTCATGCAGGCCACCGTGTCCCGCTCCTGTTCCTCCTCTGAGGGTAAGCTCGGCTGAGGCCTCCTGTCCCCGAGTTCCTTCTGAGGTAGGTACAGACATGGGATCACCACACTAAGGTTACATAACGGCAGACTGATGGATGATAGAGACAAAATGGAATAGTGTGGAGGCATCGTCCTTATGTTTGAGGGTTTCGTGTTTGCTGGGATTCATGGAGGATTTAAAATCAAAGCTATTGTACATGCAAGTATCCTGAATATACAGTAGGAAAAATACAGGGCATGCAATCTGTCAGAAATAAAAAGCTGAATGACTGTAGGATGATGAATAGGGTTTGAATCACATCAGTGGCTCCAAACTTAGAGGACTCTCTGAGAGGTCGCAAGATAAATTAGAATTAAAACAAAATATATAATTCGACGGCACAAAATGAAGACTTTATTTCATTCTTTGTTGTGATTACTCGACCATATATGCTGACTACACGTCATCAAATGTATGATTTCTGTGAAAGTTATTTTTTGTAAAATTTCCAAACAGTAGCTTTAAAACTGATATATGAGGATGCAGCTAAATCTAACAATGATGGCGGAAAAAACCTGCTAACGTTAAAGTCCTTTTGTACATAGTCAAAACAAAGTTTATTATCTTATCAAAATGAACAAGTGCAGTATATATTTTTTTAGGTAATATGTAGGTTCTATGACAAGGACTTCTTGCGTGAAAATAATCCTCATTAAAAAGTCAGAAAATGAAGGCCGAATGTAAATGTTATATGCAGTTTTCCAGTCAGCCTGAAAACTTTATAACTTTATTCTCAATATTACAGCCTCTGGAGTCACTACTCTCTGTATCTGTTCAAATAAAACAAGGATTAAAAAACTACAGAGATATAAGCTGTGATGAGAGGTCAGAAGTGAAACAGTTCTGTTTTAAAGGGTCAAAGGGCTGGGAACCACTTTTTTATAATGAAGCTCCTGAGGCAGCTAATTTAAAGTAATGCCACTTATATTAATTACATGTACACTAGCTAATTAGATCACAGTAAAAACTGGATCATGTCAGTAATAGCAGAGTGCAAGGCAATTGGTTTTCCACCTACACGTTCAATCCAAACTCATGATGATGGATGACTGCTGCTGAGTAGCCATTGTAAACTAACACACTTCATCTTTTATAGCTTCTGGGTATTTTGTTTTTAATATATAAATATATATATAATATACCAGGAGAAACTGGTGCAGTCAGTTCAGGGGTATGCAGTTTACCCGTGAGGGATGCAGAGAGGAAAAGAGATGATGGGTGGAGTATATGGAGGTGGGTTTAAATGAGAATGAATAACCTTGAAATCAGCAAACGGCTCTTCATAAATGGCAGGAGTAGAGACAGGCTCCTGCAGGGGGAAGCAGAGGAAAGAGCAGAGAGAGCATCTGAAGGTTAGCACAAGCTGAAGTGACCAGTGGACTGACAGGCCACAACACAAACAGAGACCGTAACAGCAGAGCTTGAGTGGAGCCTGAAAATGTGAGCTTAGTGAGTTCTGACTACAAAATAGTTCAGTCCCAGCCTAAACTGGGATCGTGGTGCACTGCTCAGTGAGACTCCGAATCTGATTATAGCCCCACATTTCAAAGTAGCTGATAATTCTGTGTTTTTAAAGTCTCAAAAGTCTGGGTGAAGCAAAAATAAATATGTGTTCTGAGTTTGTCACACCACACAAAAAGTGTGTGATTAACCACCAAGCCCAATATGAATGATTAAAACACAGCCAAGTTCAAAATTGTGGGGGAAAAAAAAGAAAAAGAAAAAGTCATCAGTATTCTCTGCTCAGAAATGCCGGGTGCGCGTCTACTAAAGAGCTGAGCTGAAGAACAAGCTGCAGCAAAGCTACAGGTTCTCTTTAGCAGCTAACCCAGTTGCACAAAGCGCACACACCTTGAGCCAAAGCACTCGTTAGCCACTGTGCTGCTACAGACTCTCATTAGCAGCTAAGTCAGTAGCGCAAAGCCCTTTTTTAAAAGATCATTTTTAAAGCTTTTTTTGTCTCTATGATTGTGCAGTGAGAGAGAGTGGGACAGGGAATTGAACCTGTGGTGCTACAATAGCCTATGCCTATATGGGGCACACACTCAACCAGGTGAGCTGGAGGCGAAAGAACTAGTTAGCTGCTGCGCTGCGGTCAACTCTCGTTAGCAACTAACCCCACAGCGCAAAGCACACCCACTTTAAGCTAAAGGACTAGCTAGCTACTGCGCAGCAAAAGCTAAAGTTAGCACAAAGCACAGCAGCAAACAGCAGCTGCTGTGCCATGTAGCTAATTCTGACTGAAAGACTGAAAGGTACGTACACGACTGCTATTTTTCTTGTTTTATTTGATTGATTTTATTAGACTGAATGAGCTAGAAGAGCTTGTGGAACATATTAAATTCATTTGTTACACATGAGGGGTGAAAGAAACAACAGTGATGCCAGCAAGCTTGCTAATAAATATTGTGAAATGTGATGTTATTGATACATTTTCCTTCATTCCATGCTAGTTTCCTGACTCACTGCTAGTCAGGTAACATCTCTTATTTGGGGCTGTTTGTATTTGTCATGGCCAATATCATACAAAGTCGACTGGTTTTGACAAAGCAACAAGCAGGGTCAACCACACACATTTCTTTCATATTGGTTGAAGCTGTGACTTTACCAGTCAACATGTGCCAGTCACCAAAGTTGAACTCCACACAATACAAAGATGCGAATTAGCTTTGCAACTGGAAGCAAATGCTTTACTTGCATTGAATGGGAGTAAATGGTGGACGAATATTCACCAGTGGCCGTACCCTAACTCAGCAATTCAGGGCTTTATTGTCCCCAGTCTTCCCACATTTTCAACAAGTATTTTCTAACATTACTGATTTTACTTCACCCAGACTTAAATGACTCAAACCCAAGTTTAGGGGAGAAATTCAGTCAGACCCAAACAAAACCCACTGGGTCTGTTCACATCCAGACAGGTCAAATGGATTCAGGCACAAATTTCAAGCACTACTCCACAGTAATATACAGCAACACAGTTTAGAGGACAGAAAAGAGGTGAGCTCACTGCAACAAAAACAACAACATCTACAGCCAGGTTTATTTGTTAGAATTAGCAGAGGCAGGACAAGAGAATCATGCAGTTTGTATCATGAGCAGGTTTTCAGCATAGCAGCAGCCACTCATTGACCAACTGAGAAAGTGTTGCAACACTACGCACCTTGAATTTCAATGAGGGAGTATTCAAATGCTATTGTCATATAATAATGTTAAATGTCCAATAAAAGGTGCAGGGGTGTATTTCAAAGCCTGTTAAAATGACTATGCGAATGGGTCCGCACGTTTGGTGGAGCACCTAATATTTTTCCCACACTCAATGTGATCTTGATATGATTGTCACTCGCCAGTGAGGTTGTTCACACACTGAGAGCTACGCAACACCTCTTCTCATGCCTGTTTAATCCAATATATGCAAGAGCTTGACTCAGATGAAAAGGTGGGAAATGATGAAAGCTGTCATGTCTATTCACTTTAAATTCCTTTCATTCCGGTGCCAAAGGCGTGCAGGCTCCTAATGATACCAACAGTGAAATGAAAGCAGCAAATCTGACTGTGTCAGGCACTGAGCTGTGGTGTCTGACTGCTCACTGCCTGCTGGGGTATCACAGTTGGAGGAACCAATGTGTTTACATCACCACTTCATTTTCTATCCAGAGGAGAATAATGCATTTGATTTATGATTTACCTATCGGAAGGTTTGAGGGATATTTTGTAAATTCTGTTGACAGAAGTTCATCAATCTGATGTATTTTCTCAATTATTTGTGCGCAAACCAATTCTATACTCCATATATCTCTAATTTTGGGAATAATAGCTGTCTGTTGCAATGTAATGGATGGCAGTACTTTTCACCCTTTATTCCTCAAATTTGTATGCAATAAATTGTTTGTTTTGTACTTCCAGTTTGAAAATGGCACAGAGATGTGCAAAAATCATCAGAGCGATGATAATATGTAAGCCTTTCTTTCCTTGACATGAGCTGGAAAGAAATTTGAGGCTTACAATTCAGAAACGGTGAAGACAAACCAACAACCATAACATGAGATATTGATTTCTTTGTCTCTTTGTTTTTGTAAACTTCACAGCCAGTGGTGAGCTGTACAGATTTGCCAGGCAGTGTGGTGCATGTTGTGTGGGGGGGGCAATGGAAAGGGATAGATTGGGTTGCCATATGGGAAAATGTCCAAACTTTTTGACAGATTTTTTCCACAAGACGGAGCAAAAGTACCGCTCCGCCTGCTCTTCAAACAGGCACGAACAGGTAAGATGGATGAGTGTTTCAAGTCACTGAAAACGTAGAAAAAAAGAAAAATGGCGTGCGAGTCTGTCTGAAGCTCATGCGATGCTTTAATTCCAATGACTGAATAGCAGATGCCAAGCAGAGTTACCGAGTGTCTCTTCTTGGCTGCATCCAGGCTCGGCTCCCTGCCGGCATTTCGGCTGTTCCGCAGTATTAGTCCAGACTCCCGTGCCTTCTGTGTTTTCACTGGCGGGGCTGGGGGAGCCATCTTAGGAAGCGCTGAAACCTTTGAGCCGAAGGACTGACTCTCTGTAGCTCCTCTACCAGACTGGTAGCTATCATCGTGATGTTCTGCTTTAGCGATACCCTCCAGATCTGCTGCAAATGCTGGATGGAAGGTGGCGGCGTCAGTCCAAGCGAGGTCTGAGGATCCCTCTGGAGAGCCCACCGACCAGCGGTATTCTCTTCTCATGAGCCGTGTGGGCTCATCCTGTCCTGTCCTGTCCCTTTCATCCTTACATGCTATGCTCTTTGACCGCTCTGGCTTGAGAGGAACAATCCTGGTGATTTCCGACTGGTAGCTGCTGCCTGACAGTCGGTGGAAAGACGTCCTCTGACCTCTGTCTCCCAGGAAACCCTCAATATCCTCTCCCCCGGAACTACTGATCTTTCTCTCATGTGTCCTGACCTGTCGCAGTTTCACCTCGGCTAGCTCCTTGTTGTCAATAAGGCCCTTTCCTCGCACCTTCATCACATACTCCCCTTTACCACCTGCTAATGAACTATCGTGTTCTATCTTTCTTGGTCCGTTCACTGAGCCTAAATCGATATCAGCTGGCCCAGCCTGACTCACTTTTCTCTTTACCTGCTCTGTTCCTTGAGTGGAGACCTCCCTGCTTTCTCCTATTGATATATCCTCTTGTTGGCTGTCTTTATAGACCCTGACAGACTGATCCTTTCCTGATCCCTCATCATCTTTTATCATCCCCCCCAGGGATGACTCACAATGATTTCCTGTTTTAGAGGTTTTTGCTGGACTGTTGTCCGAGTCTGAGCCCTCATTTTCTTCTTCAGTAGAATCACTGCTTCCTTTCCTGTAGATGAGCTCGCCAGGCATTCCCAGATTTAAGCTCTGGGGTCTCCTCTTTTTCCTTGGATTAGAAGCTGTGCGTTCCTTTATCTGGCGCGAGCCTGGAGCCACATCGCTGTTTGCCTCAGGGTCTGAGGCTCGAGACGGTTTACTTTGAGATTTGTCTTTAGAGGAGTCTGCATTCTCGGATAATTGAATCATAAAACGACTTTTGTTCGTCGGGCGAGGTTCACAGCATTCATCTGCCTCCCTGGATGATTTTGTTGATGGAAATTCATCAATATGGCTTTTCATTTCTTTTCTGTCATACCCTGTTAGCTCTTTATGTATCATCTTGGTAACGTCTATCTCTTTTTCAAGCTCCTTTTTCTCCCATGAGGAATCAGATGTGAGAGATTTGTTCTTTTCTTCTGCCTTCCAGTCATGGTCCTGTTGATAAGTTTCTTGTTTTTCAATCAATACCCACTCCTCAGAGCCCTACATGTTGGTATAGATTAAACACAGTTAGACACGCCAAGCACAAGTGCTGCAAATAATGAAATCTACACATTCATTTGAATCACAGAAAAGAGAACAAAATGTACAAACGGTAGAGAAGGTACCCAAGTTTTGGTAAACATGAATTTGCATTTAGGGAACTGTTGGACAGTATGTGGTGGTGTTTCCTTATACAGATGGGCATATGAATGATAGGGATGCACGGTAGGCGGTGCATTTCACCAAACCACAAATGCTATAAATAGTAAGCCATCATGAAAAGGAGGAGTGAAAGATGTGCAACCTCAGGTGAAGTCACCAGAGTCTTCTGGACGAAACCCTCAACAGACAGGCTGTTAACAGGGTCCTTTCCCACTGCTCGGCCCACCAACTGGCCGACAAGAGGCAGAGGGGAGAGTTTAAAAGAGAAGGAAGAATAGCCGTTAGAGCTTGGACTCAAAATGAGGGAGTAAATTAGTAAGATGCACAATAAAACATTTCATGCAAAAGCGAGAAAATGAGAAAGGCAGACAGAATCAGTGCTAACAGGACTTCACTGAGTTATTCTGAAGAAACTTTTTAATGAACTTCAAACTAAAATCATGCAATCCCACGGACCTGACAGCCACCAAATCCACATAACCAAATCAGCAGACATTTGCAATGCAAATATTTTTTTTCCCTGTAACTACATCAAAGAGTTGAGTTCGAATGAATCTTTTGGAAACCATCAAGAGCACAGAGACTTCCCCAGCCTTCGACTGTCAGTCAAACAGAATAATACCCCCCCTCCCTCTTACCTGGAATGAGACACACGGGAGATTACATTTTCTGCTGCAGACAACGCTTGACATTCTATGGGTTTAATCTGATCATCCCAGACAGCAGATGAGAGATTGTGTGAAGACAACTTAGGCAACGGCAAAAACCAAACTATCCTATCCAAAGAGTACAATCTCAGTGCTCTATCTTCAAAAGCCTAATTACCAAAATGTGATCAAAGCTCAAGAGCTTTCGTGATCTGGCATAAAGAAAACTGTGTCACTGTTAGGCAATCAAGGAAAATAAAAAAAAAGATAACTGATAATTATTTCTCAAGTGCCTCACATTGAGTAAATCTCAAAAACATCTTGACACTAATCTCATCAAGATGCTTCCTTCTGTGCTACTTGTCAGTCATCTTCGAGTACCTCAGAGATTTTGTCAGAATAATTTGGGTACACAAGAGAGAGTCAGAATACACTTCATTACACACGTCTTAAAATAAACTGCAGATTTTTTAAGTTTCCTCCTGTGAGCAATAGTGTCTTTGCACAGGAGATACGTGTTTGAACTGCCTATAGGACAAAAATTAAACAGCCATGACTACCTTCACCAACCATATCGTGCATCTTCAGGCTTGAATTATTCAAATGAAAAGGGCATACAAAAAACATGCAAAACAAGTTTCTCTATGTGATAAAAATATGACATGTTTAGCCTTGAGTCAAGCAGCAAAGAGAGGAATTCAACATGGCAGCGCCCAGATGGGAATATTAATGCCCTCTAATGGAATGTCAAGCATCACAGTTTGCTGGATTTGAGATACTGACCATAGTAGACTTAAGAGCCCACATTACCCCACCCCACTAGCGTAAGCCCCTACTCACAGCCTTCTTCTCTGGTGTGCCTGTCGGTGAGGTGGCTGACAGACGTTTCTCGCGGTAAGACAGCTTGCTGTTAGGCTCCCTCAGGGCTCTCTTTAGCTCGTTGATGCTGGCCTGGTGCTTCAGCAAGACATCCTTTGACTTATCCAGAAACTGGAGGGAAATGTGCGGAAGACGGGACAAAAAAGACAGGAAGAGAAGCGTGCATAGATTAGTGGGATGTCAGCATCTTTTTTTCACATCAACACATCTGATGACTTAACTGGATGTGAGATAACTGAAAAGATGCAATATGAAATGCTTACACTTATGTCAACAAAAATTACAGTAGTGTTTTACTGCTCTGTGTCGTGGAGAGCAATGACATTTAAGATGGTATTGAGGCACATAGAAAACAAAAACAAATATATTTATAGTTGAATAAGATTTGTAGACAATCAAGGCACTTAATGTAAAGTAGATGAATGAGGAAATGAATATGTAACATCTATTAACCTTTTTGGATAATTGAAATTCTGCAATATTTCTTTTGTTTGGAGTGATTAAAGTCAGTGGTGGAAAGTAATTTTATACATGTACTCAGCTGTGTTGTGGTACAATTTCGAGTGTTGCCACTTTCTGCTACTTTTTACTGCTACTCCCTACTCACAACAATTCAGGGAAAAATCTCCAGTATTTTACTTGACTAAATTAACCTTATGAAAGCTGTAGGTACTTGTAACTTTGCATGTTAAAGAATAGATTAAAATACAAGTCCATCTTAAAACAATATTGAGGCGCCCATACATTAAACGTTTTTTTGCTTATTGTAATTATTCGTCATGTTCATACTGGCCATTAAGAGATGCCTTAGTAATGTGTTTTTAATAAAAGTGATGGAGGTTAAAAATCCACAGTCCTCTTTCTATTAAAAAAAGTATTGTAGTAAAAAAATATATATATTCAGTCTTTACTAAGAGCTCCTTGTTGTGTTTTAGATGTTCATGAATTGTTCGAAGTTTGACCAACATTTTCAGACATTTACTCTTGAAACTTCTGAGATCGCTTTGTTTAAATAACAAGGCCCAAGGAGGTCAGAATATCCAATGTTTAACAAGAAGGCAAGATGAGAGAAAAGTAAAAAAAAAAAAAAATGAATACAAATTGTGTATGACCCCATGGGACCTGCTGGAGGGGCCTGGCCCCAGGTTAGGAATCACTGGATTAAAATCTGACCAGTTGACCTTAATTAAAAAATCTAGGAAATGAATAGCCTCGAAAAATGTAAGTAAATATAACTATTAGTCTTAAGATTATATATATTCTTATTATTAAGTGTACTTAAAATTAAGTTGTATTTACTTAATTTTATGAAGTTGTTGCAACTTAAATATGACAAGTAACACTGGCCTTTTGAAGTGTTAGTAACTTAAGTAAACCAAGTAAGTCTGACCTAACTTAATCTTGACAAAGAAGATTTGTGGTGTGATGTGGTGGAGTTAGGATATCCTCAAGTTCTGTTAACAATAACATAAGAATATACCACAGTGATTGAATAATTTGCATCCAACAGAATACAGATATAGCACAATGTTAACACCCACAGAGCTGTTTTGTTTATTACAATTCAATGCATAATTTGTCTGATAAAGTCTGACTATTTCTAGATTTTTTTAATGGTTATTATATAAGGCTTTAAACTGGATTTGTTTAGACTGTATAACTTCTTTTGTTTCCACAAAGACTGGCCTCAAAATGCGTTGTGTTAAAATAAAATTTAAAAAATCCTGCAAACTAATGACTGTGCTTTGTGCTCACTTTATCTTTATGAGGCAATCAGTTTCCTTAATTCTGCTGAGTAAACATAACTGTTCAGCTAAGTCAGACTTACTTAATTTATTGAAGTTGCTAAAAATTAGAAAGAACAATTTAATTGCACTTGTCATTCTTAAGTTGCAAAAACCTAACACATTATGTATACAACTATTTTGTAATTAACTCAACAACTAGATTTAAAGTAAACATAACATATGACTAATGGTTAAATTTAAGTACCTTTTTCAAATCAATCAGAGTTTTTTGTTGTTGTTCTTTTAAGATCAACTTGTCAGATTTTACAGTTTGTATATAAAGTCATTTACAGTAGCCCTCACCTTTACCAGCTACAATAGTAAACTGCATCAGCACTAACCATATAATAATGTAATGTATGTAAAGTTTTTTTTCTTATTGTTTGGTTCAATGTCATTTTTTACAGTACACACTTTTTATTCATTCTTTTTGAGGCATCAAATATGCAATTTTGGTTTCTACGATAGTTTCCCTATTAATAGTTTTCATAATCTTATTTTACAAGCAAATCCTTATTTACAAAAAAAACTAAAGAGAAGATGAAATAAAAATGTCTGTGTAGAATGTCCACATTAAAATTAAGTGCAAACTCACGTGGACTAACATTCTCCATTGCCTTGTTTGGCCACAAGTTTTGTTGCAAATACTGATGTGAATACTGATGTTCAGTTGCATTTTACAACTACAAGTGGTACTTACAGGCTGCATGATTGCTAATAGAGTCAATGGAAAAAGCCAACCAGATGCCTCTTTTAGTCAAGGGCTGTTTTTCTGCAGAACAAGTAGCCTACTTTTAATTTTGACATTTTTAAGTGCATGTAGCAGATAATTCTTCTGTACTTTCACTGAAATAGAATTTTGAATGACAGGCATTCTCTAATTTCTGATAACAGAGAGGTATTTCACTAGAGACTAACTTGACAGTATTCTGTGCTCACTGTGACCAGGTGTTTCAAATCTCTAAAACATTCTAAAAGAAATCCAAAAATATCTTTTGGTCCAAGGTGCAGGCAAATCTGTGAAAACCTCCAGAGACTAAAGGTGTGAAGGAAACGCAGCACACGCGACAACAAGCACAAGGGCTGAAGACAGGAACCTGTACCTCCTGTTTGTGCCGAGGAGTGGCCTCCTGGTCCAACTGAGAGAGCTGAGTTGGGGCAGGAGGGTGGGCGAGCAAAAGAGGGGTCAGAGGTGAAGAGTGCGGGGCCAGAGAGTGCAGGAACAAGGTCAGATGCAGAGACAGGGTGGTAGAGGGTCAGTCAGTCAGAGCACAGGCAGGCAGACAGATAGGAGGGCTACATTTGGCCATGTGTTATCATGCCAAGACAAATTTGGAAATTATTTGAAAATACATCCCAGCAGACATTTTGGAAGATGATAATCGAGTAATGCAAATATATCGTCAATATAAAAGTGCTTTCTTGGATCTTTCATAACTGCTCTTGCCAATTTGTAAAGTCTAGACAGAAATATCTTTCTCATATCAGTTCAAACTGCTTTCTAAAGCTTTTTAAGTGTGTCAGATTGTGCTGTGCTTCAGTTGTCCCTACCGTACCAATCACTGTCAGTCAAACGTTTGCTGGGATGCTTAACCATGACAACTAAGTCCAGGCGCAACCGTAACAACATCACTTGCTTATATGGTGCAATGCAGCACCATTTTTTTTATATGATGAGTGTTGACTGCCACAGTCAGACAGTGGAAGACAGGCGGAGAGAATTAGAAAAATCAGACAGATATACTTATTGATGGATGAATAAAGACAGGTATACAGACAGACAGAGACCAAATCACCAGACACCAAATACCTCCTGTTTACTGTCAACTGGTGACCCAGCCTCCTCCTTATCGCCAGCGAGAGTTAGAAAAAAAAAGAAATAGCGTGTTAGCAACACAGGGCTAGGGTTGAGTTTGCATCTCTCAGCATAATGAGAAAGGGTTAAAAAAAAACTGTAAAGCTGTCAGTGGGATTTATGAGCAGTGCAGTGTAAGCATATAAGCCTGAGTGAATAGGAGTGAAAGGAGAAGAGTTAGTAAAGGCTAAATCCACCAAAGCCACCACAGCGTTATGCCCCTGCTGGATAAGTCTAAATTGGCCTGAGAAGCTTGTACTGCACCCATTTTACATCAGCACCCAGTCCATGCCATCTCCCTGCACCAAGGCTGGAGTTGTCTTCAAGGTGACTAAAGCTGTATACTTTTGGACCATCCCAAATTTTAACATCAGCTTTAGCACAATGGAAATTCATAAAAAGTCACAGTGTATTAGGAAATCTTTACTACCAAGATCTCTTTCTTTCTGCTCGGAGTGATGTTGCCGTCATAGTCTTGCTGCGTCTCCCCGCCCCGCTCTTGGTCCTTGTCCTCCTCGTCCTGCTCCAAACTGGGCTCCAGCTCGGTCTCCTGCTCGTCCACAGAGGGGCTGTGGAGGCGACGCTGTTCACTGATGCTGCGGTGGGATAGGCCGTCATGGTTCTCACACATGGCAGAAACTGGCCGTGAAAACTCTGCCGGTGACAAGAGTTGAATTATCATGAGAGACAAGTCAGAGTTCAGCTGATGTGGAGTTTTAAAGCAATAGTTGGTCATTTTGAGAAATAAGCTGAGGGTGCTTTTGCGCCTGTAGATCGGTTAAAGTCATTAGAGTCATATTCTCCAGTTAATATTTCATTCATATTGGATCAAAAATTTTCAGGGGATAGTTTGATTCTTTTGAAGTGGGGTTGGTGTGAGGTACTTATACATAGTCAGTGTATTACTGACAGTAGATGTTGGAGAAACAGGCAGAAGCAGCGACACAGAAGCTAAGCAGTGTACAGCTGTGGAGGGGGCAGCAGTAAAACATATTTTAGGCACCTAAAAAACTCAGTATTAGTTTTAACGTATGTTATATTTGGAATATTTTCACTGCTGTATCTTGTCATCAGACAGCTATGTCCAACAGCGAACTTAAGTTGTTACATCACTTTCTTCAAAGCCAGACTCCTTTGAGGAAAATTGTATTTTACCAGTGCTGAACTCAGGAGCTGCTGGTCTACCGCTGCCTTGATCAGTTAGTTTGTTTGTGTTGTTACATGACTTTGTTTGGTAGGGTTACCTCAGATTCACCAGAATCACACTAATGCAAACAAACATCCAGTAGACCAGCAGCTCCCGTGTTCAGCGAACTAAAATTACTGTTTTTCTCAATAGAGTCTGGTGGCTTTCATGAGAGCATAGATGGGGCACTGAGGCTGCTAATGGTTCCTTCATCTGAAAACGCTATGTGAAGGAATGGCAGCAGTAAAAATAGTCTCATTATAGCGCACACATAAACTGATACGTTTTGCAGCTGGTAACATTTCACAGCGGTACATGACTTAGGCATTGGTACTCCTGCCTGCTTTTCCAAAGTGGGGGTGTGCTGCACACCACCTACTGTTTGTAATTCGCTGACTACGGATAAGTACTTCATGCAACCCTATTTTATAAGATCAGAACTATCCCTTTAAGCTTATAAACTTAATAGTTTGAACCAGGACCTTTAGGGTTTGGATTAAATTGTGAAAAAAAGTGTGGAAAAAGTCAAGCTAAAGCTGTTAAATGTCTCTGATACATATGTATTTCAAATCATCGGGTGCTTTGTTAATTAGTATCAGATCAGGCTAATATTGGCAGATACCTAATATGAAACCACTGACTGGGATTAGGGCCAAAACTACTATCAGCTTGTTCGAACCGAACTGAACAGGTTAGGTGTAAAGGTACCCTTACTCGCTTTCATGCCAAGATTTAGTTGAGAAGGTCTATACCACTATCTTATCTGTCTGTCAATGTGAAGCTATGTGAGACAAAGAGTTACCTTAGCTTAGCATAAAGACCGGAGGCAATTAGAAACGGCTAGCCTAGCTCTATCCAAAGATGAAAATTTAAGTGTAAAAACAACAGGGTTATGTGAAGGACTGTTTTTTTTGGCCTGGAGCAGGGACTTGAGAAACCCCCTAAAACTGCAGTTTATTGTTTATACACTTAAAATTTTGTATGGATTGATCAAATGACAAATTAGCTGGACAGAGCAAGGCTAAGTATTTCTTCTGCTACCAGGTTTTATGTAAAGCTGAGATACACATCTTCTGGCCGTAAATAACTTTGCAATAAAGCAGGAAAAAAGTGTGTTTCCAATTGTCCATATGTCCAACTATTCCTTTAAAGGTCTATCTCAAAATTGTGACTTTAGACACTCCATAAGTAGATCTCTCTGGGAGCTACTCTGGCTCTCACCTCCGTCCAAGCTCCTGGACAGCAGGTACCTCTTGCTGGTGGAACGCTCAAAGTGTGGAGCAGGCCGGTCTATAAGAGCACTGGCCTGTCTGGTTTGAGCCTGTGTCCTTCCACTGTATCGAAACTTTGAACCCATCACCAAGAAGCCCTTAGGAGGAGGCTCTGGAGACACCAGCCTGTGAAAACAAACCAGTGAGCATTATAAAACACACACTTTAGCTGGAGCTACGCCTGATGAACCATGAGACCAGATTGATTCATACCTGAAGAAGGTGTGATGCTCAATGCAGACCTTCCACAGCCTCTTGGCAGCTCTGTGGTTGGGGAGCTTAAACCCGATTGTACTTTCAAACTGCTCATACTGGAGGGGAGAGAGCACAGGGAGACAGAGAGAAATGGTGTGAGGTATAGCACCTGGTGTGTTTACTCTCTTTTGCTGAAGGGCACCTCAGTACTTCTCCATGGATAAAAGTTTAGGGCAAACCCAATCAATAAAGCAGTCTTTACTTTGTGCTGGCGTGGATACTATTACTACTATATAAGCAAATACACTGAGAACATGAATTTTGCCAACTGGACAGAAAGGAGCAGATCTAAGCAGAGGAAGGATAACATCCAATGCTCAGACACTGGGAGCAAATGAGAGGAAAACTATTTCATGGCTCTATATTTACACTCTTTATCCCTCTATTCTGGCTGTGGCTGCAGCTGCAACCGCTCTGTTAAAGGGGCTCTTTATTTGGCTCGATCACAGGCTCACTGTGCGGCTCTGTCACTTGACTGGGTCTGGCCCAGACAGCCTGTCACACTGAGGCTCAGCATGGAGGATAAGCTGCAGCGCTGCACAGCACAATGAGGAGGGCCAGAATATAGACCCTTACTGTGCAGAGGGGCAAAACCTGGAGGTATAAAGCAGCGGATTTTTACAGCCATGTGCTCAGCACAATGACCACACATTCATTGCTGCAGTGACTTTCAACAGTAACGGCTGTGACAGAACATCAGCTATTACTGTACTCAAAATCTGAGATCATGGCTTGAAGGAATAGTTTGACATTTTGGGAAATAGGCTTATTCACCTTCTTGCAGAGCATTAGATGCGAAGATCAATACCATTCTCGTGTCTGTGTGCTAAATATGTGTCTGGAGCCACAGGCTGGTCAGCTTAGCTTAGCATAAAGATTGGGAGCAGGGGGAAACAGCTACCCTGGCTCTGTCTAAAGCACGGATCGGCAACCTTGATTATCAAAATACCCTTATTTGGCCATAAAAAAAAATCTGTCTGGAGCTGCAAAACATGTTTGAGCCCAATACTGACAGTAACACAGCCTATGAAGTCTAAATTAATATGTCTAAATTCTCTAAATTAAATCAACATGACTACTAGGTGTAAATGAGCATTCATTGATATGTTTTAACACAGTGCAGTGGGCTATTACTGTAATTATTATTTAATACTTTAACTTTGCAGCATTGGTGGTGAAAGCAAACAGATCTTTCCATGCATTATTAAACCATCATTTTTTCCTCTGAGACTTTTCATTTTGTGGCTTTGAAATCCCTAGCGAGCCTAGCTAAGGAGACTCAAGACTAGCTTTTGAGGTGCAATAAAATTTAGATGAAAATTAAGGCACTGGCCTCTAGTTTCCCGGCACGGCGCATTTAAGGGTGAGGAGAGGGGCTTATTTGATTGGTGTGATGTGAATCGGCTGTGTAAAACCCACTCCACGCCTTCTCCCTCTTTCCGACTTGCGCAGGTAGGAGTTACGGAGGTGGGAAAGAGGAGTAGCTGCGCCAGCGCGCACGGTGTGCCAAACTTGCAAAATCCGCCTGGCCACACCCAGTTGCCTCCGCCTCGCCCGGTCTGCGAAACTAGAGGCCACTAGGTCATAGACATATTACACACATTTTAGCTGAAATGTTAACGCATTTTTAAATTTGGTATATAGCTACTGATTTTAGAGCTGGTAAGTATGAGAGTCACTGTAGACCCACAACAATGATAACTAAAAGTAAAATATTAATAAATAATAGCTTTTCATTTAATTTTTTGTCAAAGACTCAGGGAGCCACTGGAGAGGGGCTACAGAGCCACATGAGGCTTCAGAGCTGCAGGTTGCTTGCCCCTGGTCTAAATGTAAAAAAAACCCAACCTATCAGCACCTCTTCTCACCATTTAGCAGGTTATATTCAACTTATTTAATCCAAAAAAAAAAAAAAAAGACTTTCTGAAGCTGCCATTATAAGGCAAGAGCAGAGACTCCAAGAGGTCACTGCACCGGGCCTAGGAATAGTACCACTCCCCACTCACCCCACATCCTCAGTTTGAAACGCAGGCTGTCTGTTATAAATTTGAACCCAGATATCTCACGTGACATCACTATGATATCATAAGGGGTTACTTTTTTTTACTGGATAAAGCTCTTCCAAAGCTAAGAGGACATTGCACAACTGTTTTTTGTTAAGTAGCATGACCTAAGGCAAATAAACAATTTTTTATGTGTGAAACTGACAGAGTACGCCTTTAATGATCCTTAATTGTACTGCAAACCTCTCCAGGTCGTATCTTGATGTAGAAGTTGCTCCTCTTGTAGGAGATCTTAAGGATCTTTGGCCATGCAAAGCGGTTGATCCTCAGCCGATCACGGTAAATCAGCAGGCCGTTGGCACAGACACCCAACATTATGTCAATCCCTTCAGAATCCTAGAGAGAACAAGGTACAGCAAAGAGGCAGAAATGATTTAACAGCGACACTGAATGCGTCCTTGAAAAGCCACTTTCATGCAAATTAAGATAACTTTGGAAGCAGCCAACCTTAGCATGATGGAGGTCCACCCCATACATGGACAATTTCTTCGCATTCTCCAAGAAGTTAATTTCTGCCTCTGCTGGAGTCATCCCCCTGTGGGCAGAATAACGTTAATATCTGTAACTAACGTCAACAGGCTTCTTAAAAAATAAATCCATAATCTCGCACAGTGGGAGCAGAATTATCTTGGTAATATGCTTGATAGCTTCAATTCTAAATTCCTGGTATCCACCCCCCAGGCATTATGTTTGGGCATATGCCAAAAAGCATTGCCAAATCGAGTGGCGAAGACCCCGGACCTGAGAAAGTGTTCTCGCACTGGCAGGACTCGCACTGTGTACATCTCAATGACAGATGGTGCTATAATGTGACGCCATCTATGCATGATGGAGTGTTGCGACACAACAGAAAACTCATCAGAGGATAGATGAAGGTCTGATTTTAACAACACTGTGTCCAGTACTTGTAGTTTCGATGGAGCTCCATCACCCTCTCCTCCAGCTCACGGGTCTGATTTGGGGCGAAGCGGAAGTCGGCGACATAGTCTGAGCCGTGGTCGTCCTGGTCGTAGTCCCCCAGCTCGGCCTGAACAGTGTAGGAGCCAAGGAGGGCGTGAGTGACGAACGAGCATGGCAGTCGGCCTGACAGCATGTCATCCCTCAGCTGCAGACACAGGTAGTATCTGTCAGACGAGACAAAAAGGGGAGGAGAGGAGGGTGTTGGCAGTCAAACAAGCCTGAACCAAGGCAAGCTCCAACAAGTATTCAGCGTAGTTAATCCATGGCAGTTAGTAGCATTCCAGGTCTAATCCTCGAAGAGGAGAGAAGGATTTGGGTTGCTTTGACACCAGGGCAAATACAGCATGTAAATTGTTACAATATTTTTATGTAAACACTTGTCTTTAGGAAAAATTAAAAAAAAAAGCAAATCTGCAAACTGACGTGTAAGTTATTTATCCTCTGACAGCACAGCCAAAGGAGTTACTACTGTTGGTATTGTAAGAGTGTGTGTGGGAAAGACATATTCTACCTGGTAATATCCTCAGTGAGCTGGGAGGGGTCTGGAGGGTAGAACTTGACAGAGAAGGCAAAGTGCCATGGAGAGTCTGGGGAGAAATTACAATGAGAGCTGGAAGATTAACGATCCTGTCTGTCTAAGAAAAATAGTACATAATTGTAATTACAAACCAATGATGGAAATGTATCCAAAAGATAACCACAAACCTTTGCATCACTTCATAAGCCAACAAATCTCATTTTTATGATTTCACTGATTGAATTTTAAAATATTCATCATCTCATCTACTTAGAAAAAACACTCACTGCGCATCTGCTTCTTGATCTCCTTGGAGGGATCCAGCCAGTTCTGAAAGACAGAAGGCATAATTCACACAGGGACAACTGGAAACATGGCTAAAGCACACCCCGGTGTCACATTTTGCTCCAATTGCCGTCAGCGTTCCTAATGAAAGCCTTTCCATATGGTTAAATAAAGGAACTGAGCCCTCCCCTGCTGAGCCGTTCAAACGTGCAGAGAGCAGATTTAATTCAAGCATCTGTTTCTTCATTGTGCTGCAAAAACCACTGCCAGCCAGTTACCTATGTTATCTCATCACATCCGATCATGCAGTGAACCGCTTCGCATGTGGGGGCACCATTTCTGATTTGGTAGCTGGAGCATCTCAACAGTGGTGCAGTGCACACTCACTCACTTGTAACAGAAGCTGTAAATCATGCTGTTTAGAGGCACAGCAATACACAGACGGCAATAAAGAGACTAATGAAATACCTCCCCTCACGTACTCCTACACTGCTAGAATTGTTTGTACAGTTTGTAACAGATTTAAAAAATCTACATTCAGTTTGCTTTCTTTTGTTTGTTTTTTATAGAGAGGACATTAATACATATTGAAGTCCCAATAGGGGTTGCAGTCTTTTTAGTATCCCAGTCAATATTGTATTTTGCCAGGCTTATCATATCTGTTTTACCTCTCTGGAGGCTTGTGTTTTTCTATGGACTCTCCATTGCATATTCATCTTATTACCTCCGCCAAAGAGGTTATGCTTTTGGTTTGCTTGTCTGTTTGTTAGCAGGATTACAAAGAAAACTACTTTGAAACTTGGTGGAAGGGTTTATCATGGGCCAAGGACAAACCCATTAAATTTTGAGGTGGAATGGAATGATTGGGCAAATACACAAAACTATCTTTCACTTTTGATAACATTGCATACAAAAAAAGGATATTTTTTGCATTAAGAGCTGCTAAGAAATCTGAATTAAAGAGTGAGCTTAAAATCAAAATTAACTGGAAAAATAACTTGGCTTCATTTCAATTTTGGAGAACTCTACAGCCAGTCTTCCCAAAGCTAATATCAAAACCACATGATTGCACCTCTAACTTTGGCACAGCAGTACTTTGAGCTAAATGCTAATGCTAGCATGACAACATGCTTACAGTGAAAATGCTAATATACTGGTAATTAACAGATATAATGTTTACCATGTTCACTATCTCACTAAGTACAAATGCAGTTGAGGCTAACGGGAATGTCAACATTTTGAACTGCTAGTGATGCTATAAGGGGAATCATCACAGTCATTTGGATTTATCAGCATCATAGGTATCTACCTATGCCAATTTGTGTGACAATTCATTCAATATTATATGACACTAAAAAACAAATAGATTTAGCGAAATTCAGTTTAATGCCTCTGTGAACCAGTCATGTTTCAGTTACAGTTTACATCCGTGTCTGTCCAGACTCATGCTTCAAATATGGATATTGCTGCAAAGAAGCTACATATTCTAAAGATACTTCACACACACCTTCAACCCAACAGCACAGAAGATCTTTATCGGGGGGGCAATCCTCCACATCTTGAGGTCATGACCTTATAGTTCTCAGGGGGAAGTTTCCTGTTTTGTTAAACCTTTTATTAGGGGGAGCACTGTCCTTTGCCAGTGCAGCTGATGGGTGCAACCTGGGGTCAGAGCTTTGGTTTGGTATAAAGGTCTGAACATTCTGAAGGTTGTCAGAGAACACTTGCGTCTTCTCTACATGCTGCATGTATTAAAGAGACTTGATTCCTCACACCGAGTGTGTCACTTCTTTAGGAGGAGATTTCCCTCACACCTTCGACCACCAAAATCTAATCTGTTCATCCTTGGGTCCAAGTGAATGTTTGTGCCAAATTTGAGGAAATTACCTCAAGGGCTTCTTGAGATATCACACTCACAAGAATGGGACAAACGGATAAATGGATGGATGGATGGATGGATGGATGGATGGATGGGGTGGGGGGGGGGGGGGGGGGGGGGGGGGGGGGGGGGGGGGGGGGGGGTGAATGGATGGATGGACAGATGAACTACCTGAAAGTGTAATGCCCTCGGCTACGGCTGGAGGCATAAAAATGTGGACCACTAGATGCACTAGATGAAAAGTCTGGGGATCACCAAAGGTCAGTGCATTTCATCCTCTGGGGACCATGAATGTCTGTATAAAATTCCACAGCAATCCATTAACTAGTTGTTGAGATATTTCAGTCTGGACTTAAGTGGTGGACAAACCAACCAACAATTACAACATTCCAATCCAGTCCTGTTGTGATCATGGCTAAATTCTTATTGAAACAAATCAGCAAAAAGGATTCATTGAAAAAGTGTAAGATGGAAAAAAATAACATCTGCTTGCTTAGACACACAGTAACAGGAGTTAATATAATTTGTTACTTTGATCCTTGGGCTTACAGTCACAAACACACAAACAGGTGTTTGATGCATGCAATATAGTTCTGTGCTGCCTGTGGTGCAGACTGCTGACGGTGATCTTCACTAACCCGAATACCTCGCAGCAACTGCTTATTAATGCTGACAGTCTTTTTGGCATCTGGTCTCGCATCAGTCAGAGTGGAATCAGGCGTGTGGGGGTTGATACAGCGCAGTGCAATCCTGTGGCCATGTTGGGCAAACTGCAAGCACCTGTCAGTTTGCGCTGTGCCTTCACGTACACACAAACACACTCATGTACACAGGCACAAATACACATACTCCTCCAGTGTTTAATCAGGCTGCTAAAGACTTTAATGAGCCGCAGGCATTTATCGTCCCCCTGAATCTATCTTATATCAGCTGAGGCCAAAGAGCACTCAATTAGTAAGGCACTCTCTGCTGCTTTGCTTTTCTCTGCAGAAGAGCAGGAAGAACTTTTAATCACTGACTCTTCAAGTCTCCAGTCTTGCTTTTGCAACCTTAGCTCATAAAGCAATCACACGGAATAAATGTTCTCCCAGAGAGCGAAGATTAAATCCTCGTTTCCCCAGCTGAGACAGAGAAAGGGCATCTTAAATGACATTTCAATTCTCCGGTTTGTTTGGTCTACCAATCAGCAATGACCCCAGACAGTAGGCTGCGCTCTGATAAGTCTGTCTTTGACGAGCCTGTCATATTGATCTAAGCCATAACCTTAACTACACTCAGGGAGAGGAAAATATTTGAACTTCAAGCCTGTTTACCTCTCTAACACCCCAGTTAACCTGTCTGTATGGGCCCAAGATCACGCTCGATCCAAAGCCTCTGCCATCAGACACGCGTCATGTCACAACATGTGAGCTGACAAAGTATGCACAAGCTAATGATTGTGACAGAGGATATGCTCCAGATGTTAAAATGGACTTAGTCTTGTCATCTCTCCTATCTTCAAAAGGCAGGAGGTGCCTCTGTAGCTTGTTGTGCAATCACATACCCGCCCTAAGGGAGGCTTGCATCAATCAAAACCCAAAACTCACATCTGACAAAGAGCTCTCATGCAGGCCGACAGCTAGGACCCATCACTTTTTCACTATTGTGTCTCCAGGTGCCGCCCTCCCCTTTTTGGTTGACTGAGCGCACCGGTGCCCACTTACTCATTGGTGATGAGATGATTTAAAGTTCCACTCCAGTGTATTTTGACATTTTTATGGTATTTCTTTTTCTGTAGTCATTTCCTAACAATGTTGATTAACCACATTGTTTTTGTGTTCAAAGTTAAAAAAAGAAGGCTGTTGCTTGAAGATGACGTATGACTATAGTAGAAGCTGAAGGTCATATGTCATGCTACAAGCTTGCGCAGGTACAGCGTCATGCCACCTTGGCATCTGAGCAGCAAAACCGACAAACATCAGGTAAACTAGGTAACTTATCTTGTGCTTTGGCTACATTAAATGTGGATCTGTATCTTTTTTACTGGCTACACCTGCAGCGCAAATGCGCAGGTGAGACCGCTATCGCTATCCATAATAATATCAATGCTAGAACGGCAATCTGGTTGACATGGTAATTAATTATGTCCACCTATTAACCATACTTTGTTTGAGAATGAACGTTAACTGAAAAACAGGAAATAACATTGACTGGAATGGGCCAGTGGGCCAGTTGGCAGCTTAAGGACAGTGTGTATTTGGTTGTGAAACCTTTCTGGTGTTGTACCAGGATCAGTAACCTTCACTTTGTCCAGGGGGAGTGTGTTAAATAGTACTGGATTTGATGGTAAACATTTTGTTATTGTTAACAAATTCCTTTATTTTGCTTATACTTTGGTTCCCTTGATTCTTTGTCCCTGGTTTAATTTGTTGTTACTCCCCTCATCCCCTGGGCGTAATTGGGAAATCTAACAATCTGGGAGCTCGTCCAGGAAACAAGGTATTTGGGGAATGAAATAGTTATTTACTTGATTATATGATATTACGCCTGGTCTGTGTACCCAAAAAAGCAAACAAGGATCAGAGGGAAACATTCAGACCTTCTGCTTGAAATGTCAAAATGATTTGTGAGCTGATTGGAGTTTAATGTATGTACACATTTATAAGAAGCAGAGATAATTAAACCTCAGAGGACAGAACCAAAGAACCACAGCATTTCTGACAAGTGAGGGCTTTTCAATACGGAAACCAACTCAACACTTTCACTAAAAACAGGGAAAAAAAATGCACTTTAGCCGTACTGATTACATTAGCAAGTTAGACTGACAGACGTTAAAGTGAAAGGAGAAATAACACAAATTAATCCCAAATGAAATGTTGAATTCATATGCAGTAAAACTCACCCTTGCTGAATTCAATACACATCATAGGGTTTTGCTGTTACAGCCTTATTTGGTTTGGTATGACCAGTAGCTCATAGCGGCTAATGTTAGCAAACTTTATTTAGCTATTGTCGTGTAACTGACATTTCCAAGTTAGTTTGCTTTCTTTCCTCTACTTGTGCTCTGTTACACTATGTTTTAGCATTTGCAAGTATCCCAGAGACCACTGTTTAATCGACATTAGTAGACTTTCTTTAAAGTTAAAACTTGCCCACAGCTAGTCGGATAAGGCTTTAACATACAATGTGTAATTTTATGCCACTAGGGGTCTTTCAATCAAAACAATACCAAGATGGAGCAGTAATGTCACTGCAATTAGTTGCTCCTGGTTAAAATTGCTTCAGTGGTCATTGCTCAGGAAATTTTTACCAAGTGCCAAATTATCTGCAGAGGTCTGCCCCTCTCTAAAACAAACAGACCGGGTGATTAAAACAGGTAAAAACACTGAAAAGAGCAGTTTCACAGTAAAAATCAGTGTTTCTTTGGCACTGTTTGGCATGTCATGGATGGATTGCTAGCCCAGCGCCAGCTAAGGTGTGCTCACCTTTTTTTATTATAGTTCAAGATCCAGATGTTCAGGAGGTTTTCACTATGAGCCAAATTACCTGCAGAGGTCTCCTCCTCTCGAAAACAAACAGATGCTGTGATTTATACTGGTTAAAACACTGAATAAATTGGTTTCATGTTAAAAAGAAGTGTTTCTCTGATGCTGTTTGTCACAGCAGGGGCTGGAACTAAGCTGCCGCTAACGTTTGCTCAGCTTGCTGCTCTGATAACTTAAGATCCAGACATCTGATGACTAAAATCCTTTATCCGGTTAAAACATATAGTTAAAAACGACCAAGATCTAAAAAGTGTATTGTAAAAATGTGTCTTAAAACTGGAAAGTCCATTTGTGATAGCTTTGGCAGACGACCACATCCTTAAAGCATGCGCACAAGGGGATATGACTAACAGGTGACGGCAACCACATGACACAGACATTGATCTTGATTAAAATTACCGATTTCTCTGGGTTTGAACATTGCTGGAAACTTTTGGGATATTGTAAATACATGTCTCAACACAAAATTTAACATTGGTCTAGTCATTTTTAGACATTTTAATGCAGAAAAGTTACATATTCATATCTTACAGATAAGCTAGTAAACTGACCTGCTTACATTATGACCAAATTCTTCTTCAAACTATCCTGATAAACAGCAGCTCTTGGCTTCTGCAAATGGAGGTTTAACTCAACCAATAAGATTATTTCTGCCTCCAGAGCAGCTCTGGGAAATATTTGTATGACTAAATTTCATAAAAGAGAGCATGTGAGCAAAGAGAGGATGACTCATTTTTTCATTTTTTCTCCAACTGCATACATTTTTCAATTGTCTGTTGTCCAGACCCATTTTCCATTCATCTCTGAATGATGGATAGTGCACCCCTGAGAGAGCCAACCCAGGCAGCAAGCGAGAGGAATACAGATTGTTCTGTGAGCAACATGAACTAAAATGTCCCGCAAGGTTACCGTGGTACACAATCCACTGACCTTCTGGGTGTCTGTGTCGGCAAAGGTCAGACCAAAGTAGTCCTTCTCCAACAAGTTGAGGTGCTCACACACCATGTCCATCAGGGTCTGTCCTTTGGAGTGTTTCTGCAAAGACAAACATACATGACACAGAAGTGGTAAAAAGGTCAACAACAATGCAGAAGAATGCAAAAAAAAAAAAAAATCCTATAATGTATTTCTGAAATACCATTTGTGCGTAAGAGTCTACTACTGGCATTGCTCAGTTTTATTGGGCAAAGCTTAGCTCATCAATACCAGACCCCATTAGACAACTGTGCTTGTCAAGATTGCTTCCCTGTCCTCTGGTTCTGCACACAATAAAGCAGCTCAGCCATTTGGTGCTGTGTCACAGTCGGTGTGCATCAAACACTTGACAGTGAAAATGGACTGTGAATTGCTGGGGAAGATTGGTCTTTGTACTGTAGGCGGAGATTTGCTCTGCTATTGGCAGAGTTCAAGGTGAGCATTTCAGGAACATTTCTATTCACATTCAAGTGACAAGTTCATGTTTTCACATTCAACATAGAGTTTTCATGGTGGATTCTGACCATTTAACATCAGGATGCACAAATACACTTTTCTGCTCACAGTGCTGAAAAGCCTTAAACTGTGTGGCAGAGATCAGTATATCATTGGTATATAGCCTGGATACAAGAAGTGTCCCAAAGTAGAAAGGTGGAGTAGGAACCAATTCAGTATTTAGGCACTCTGATTGTGTTTTAACCAATTATATTTTTCATGTCAAATAGTGTAATATCTCTGAGGGAAATGTAATACAATACAAAAATTACTAAGTAAATGAGATATTCCTTTAATTAGACTTGAGTAGCCTATGGATTGGTTTATCTAGGGCCTATCAAATCCCATTAATAACAATAGTGATTCAGATAGTTTACATCCCATTTAGTTACAGAATGCAACACCATAGGCTTACAATTAACCTCATCCTTGTCAGATCATAACAAAAATATAAACCAGAATAGCACATGTTGCACATCTGTAGTCATTATTGCAGATGTGCTGGGAACCGACAAAATAATGTAGATACATCATGAGAAAGAAAGGACTAGGATACCACTGAAGTAACACCATCCATGGTTAATTCACAAGACCAAGTGTCAACAGCGATGCTCACAGCTCTCTGAGGCTGTATGTTGAGGTAAAAGCTGATGTTAGCATGCTAGCACACTCACAGGAACAATGCTGTTGTTTAGCAGGTAATGTTTAGTATGTTCAACCCTCTTAGGTGTTAAGATGTGTGTTAGCATCAACGGCAACCTCTGAGGCGAAAAAGTTGAGCCATTGCAGAAGTGTTAATAACTGCAGTTCCCTAAATGACCACTTGAGGCTGACTCCAAAACAGACTTACAAACAAACAAACTTAATATCATAAATAAAAATGTATACAGCCTGGTACAGAAAATGGTTTTGGCCTCTACATTCATGACAACTGTTCACTTCTCCACAGCTCTACCCTCTTGTTTTAATGGTCACTTCTGGCTCCAAAAAATCAAGATGGCGACATCCAATAAGCCGAACTTAAGGCTTCAAAATGGCATTCCAAAAACCAATGGATGATGTCATGGCAGCTAGGTCCATTAATACAGTCTGTGGTTAGCATGCTAACATTTGCTTATTGGTACTACACAAAGTACAATGAAGTCTAATGGGAATGTAACTGCTCTTGCATGTATTTGGTTATAAACAAAAGTCAGGGGGACACCAAAGTCTTTCATCCTCTGGGGACCAAAATTGTTGGGACCAAATTCTGTCCAAATCTATCCAGTAGATGTTGAAATATTTTAATAAAAATGTGAAAACTGCTGGTGTTGTCCACCAAAATTGCTAACTAGAGCTAACAGCACTAGCATTAATGACAGAATGTAAGTCCTGCAACACTCACAAACATAGGCGGCCTTACCTATGTTTCAACCGTTTCAGTTGAAACGGGCCCCAGCCACCAGGGGGCCCCCAACTGACTGACAAAAAAATAAATGCCGCAAGGAAGACACAATAATAAATCACTGCCCGCCATCACATAACTAGCTAACTAACATCCATAACGTTACAAAAAGAAACGCACATACCAGAGTGGTGCTGAAAAGCGAAAACTAGCAGACATCAAAAGGAAAGCTGTGAGTAGTCTTCCAAAAGTGACCTCTTTCTTTGGTCCTGCATCTATAACAGCTGCACCGACTACAGCAGCGGCTGCCGCCCACTCACATCACGCCAGCCAAACAACAAATACGGGAGAAGGTGAAAATAAAGACCTTTCTACTGAAACAGCTGGTGATAATGATGACCAAACATTATCGTTTGAAGCACCACATGATGATAGTCCCACAACTGAGACAGGTGAGGGAGATGCCACCACCCGCACTGCAGCCAGGGAGAAAGTCCAACTGCCATTCACAGAGACAGACCCAGCATGTTGGCCAGAGCATATTACCAGTGACCAACGGATCGATATTGTTCAGAGAGGTCCCGTTCAGATAGAGGACTTTAACTTACCACAGAGCCAAACACGCCGCCGTTTTACTAATGACAGATATTTCATAAGGATGAAAAATGGAGAAAAAATACACAGGTCATGGTTAGTGTATTCAAAATCATCAGATTCAGTTTTCTGTTTCTGCTGTACCCTATTTGGCAAGCGAAATCAGTCTCACTGACGTTCCAACATGGACAGCTGGCGCGAGCTGGAGACACGCGTAAGAACACACAGTGCCATTGACAAAACATACCAAGAAATACAAATGCTGGAGAAAAAACACTGGAACGACGTCATGAAAAGGATAATTGCAATAGTCTATCACCTTGCAGAACGAAACCTTCTTTTTTTCCTCCGTCTGTCTCTGTCTTTTCATGCAGGCAGTGAGCTGTCCATGGTGCTGAAATGACGTGGAGCACTCATTATTTTTGTTGTCAATTTAAGTTGAGAATTTTGATTTTTTGATTTTTTGGCTGAATTTTGAAAACAAATCTGTAGAAAGTTGTTTCTCTTTTATTTCCGTTTCTCTGACCGAGAGAGTGCTCTGACCACAACTGGACAACAATACTGCGGAGCACTCATTATTTTTGTTGTTAATTTAATTTGAGGGGATTGTAAGGGACAATAAAGTATCCATATCCTTATTTGTTGCAAACCAACCTGAATCCTCGCCTTTTCTGCTAAGTTCCGGTTTCTTGCCTTGGTTATGATTTTAACACTTGGTCACAATGTATCGTTTTACATGGGAAAATATATGCATCCTTGGGACACATGGATGACTTTACTGCGTTCTTTCAGCTTATAATGCGTCACAGACACAGGACACGTAGCTGGCAAACATAATTATGTTTATGTTTTACGTGGTAGGGCCCCATATTAAGTATTGAAACGGGCCCCCTGATGCCAAAGGCCGCCTCTGCTCACAAAGCGCCACTAGTTACTAGGGACCAGTAGCTTTCTATAAGTTGTCAATCCTAACCTGACAGACACTTATAAGGGGGGCGCAGTTGCCGAGTGGCTTAATAAATGTAAGGTTTTTAAAGTGAAAGCAATGAAATGGACAGTGGATTTTTGAGATATAAAGCATACATTTCATGTCATGTTCAGGGTCCACACGAAATGTTTCTGAGGGCCAGCACTAGCCTGCAAGCCAAACTTTGAGCAACTACTCTACAGTTGGTTAACATTTCACTCAAAACCAAACTTCAAGGAAAATCCAGGGGATCACCTAAGTCATTAAGATTTATCATCTGGTGACCATGACCATCCAATAGTGCATGAGAAATTTTAGATTGGACTAAATTGGTGGACCCACTCATTGACATTGCCATATTTCAGTAATTAAGAAGTGCCCATCACATTCCGTTAATAACAATAGTGCATCAGAGGGTTTAAATCCCATTCAGTTATAGAATGCAAAATACTGCAGACATCATTGTCATAGTGGTTCAGTGGTTGGCACACATCTCCCAACTTGAAGGTCATAGGTTCAAAACCTGATTTGCCAAACTCTAAATGGTCTTACCGGTATGGAGTTTTGATATCTCCAAACAGGAATAATCTGATTTTAAGTAATTGAATCTCCTGGTACTAAGTATTGATTGGTTTATAACTGAATTAAGTAAAGGATATTCACTGCACTGGTAGCCAAATATGCTTGCTTCAAGCATAAGAATGCTCTTATCGAAAATTTTCATTCAGGTTGTTAGGACAAATGAAATTTTGACTTAACATCAGCAATTCTTGCATGGGCTCATATGCCACTGTTAAATCTAGAACAAGAAAGAATTATAATGTTTAGGTCTAACACTGCACCACACATACATAGTATTACACTCTCACACACATATGGTGCCTCCTCCCCTGGAGCCTACTTGTGAGGTGACAGGGAGACGGAGCAAGCAGTTGCCAGGGAAACAGATGCAGTATTATCCCTCTGCTGTCTAGTTTCTTAATATCTCAAGGCTAGAACTTGAAAAAGTGTTTCACCTTTGCCTTATTATAGGTGAACACATGGTGGAGAAATACTTTCAAAGTGTGTGTAGGCTCTCATTGTGTCAGAAAGTATAGTTCCTTAACAGCAGCAATTTCATTGTAAAGCAACAGTATGCTGTATGACATCAGCGACAGCCTGCAAAATTAAATAAACAAATCAGCCTGCGGAGTCTTAATAATCCATGACTGAGGTGATCCGGTCTATTTGCTCTCTGCTCTGGAGCCATTAAATATTAAACTGCACAATAATGATCTCAGCGTTGCCACCTGAATGGACACCCAAGACAATTTTGGCAACGTAAAAAGACAACTTACCAGCATGAAACACTCAATTCCAACCAAAATCGCCCTGTTCTACATATCGGTCCAACCAGGCTTGACCATGCATAGTCAGGCAGTTTACACCCCAGTGAGCAGAGGAGGAAACGGGGTGACAGAAATGGGTATGGGCGTGGTGCCTCCTCGCCTGCCAGAGGAGCAAAGGGAGGCTCAGCCATGCATCCATGACAAGAGACTTAATTAACCCATGAATGCGGCACCTCCTCCAGGAAGAGCTTTCCCAAAGTGTGGCCTGCCTTCTTGCAACACTGTTATTACCAACTCCTGGAAGCACGAGGGAGGTTCAGATGTGGCAGGCATAAAGTGCCACCCCCAGCAGTTAAAGCCAGGAAGTGAGAGCAAGCCTGCCAATGACCTGGAGGTCTGAGGCTCTCCCCAAACTAGAATTTTAAAGAACATGGGCTGACAAGAGGCTGCTTTGTGCATCCCTTCTCTGGCAATGACTGGCAGTGCTGCGAGGGCGGACGAATATTTAGGAAGAGCACTTAAGATACAAAAGCTTTCATAACCATAATGCTAACTATTGTTGTGGTGCAGAAAAGGCCCAAAGGTATTTCTGAATGTTTTCACAATGCTGAGAGAGCGGTTGGTGCAAGCATAGCATTCCTGATAGTCTTACCACACACACTCGCACATAAAAGGCGCCCTACCCCCAACACCACAACACACACACACACACAAAGTTTCATGTACTTGTGCATAAGTATCCTAAGGGGTGGCTCATAATAACATTGTTCTTCTATTTTCTCCTTGGCTGCACCTGGCTTGCAACCATGTAATAACTATAGATTTCCTATCACCCTGTTAGCTGCCTGTGCTTAGGGCTTTTATTGGACAAAAGGGACATCCTGTGACCCTCAGTTTCTAATGAAGATTTTAGTGCCAATACCAAATCACTACTGATACCAGGACAATACATTTTTGGTAACTTAGTGAGGGGAACATACAGATACATATTCCATATTTATATATATCTTACACATGTAGACTAGACTAGAAGTCCTTGAAGTGCTCAGAAAAATTTAAAGTTGAACATTTGCAATTCAATGACATGATGAAGTGGGCTACTTCAACTGCTGAGGAGATTGTGTGGTACACTTCAAAGCTCCAGAACAGATATCAAATGGATCTTGTGTTGAGACTGTTTTTATAATTTCCTGATATAGCCTACATCTAGAACAGTCTGAGCAAAGAATAAGCTGAATCACAGTATCACATCACCTACGTGAAAGTTTTTAGCCACCAAAAAAAGGCCAACCTAAAAAACTCAATTTAAGTGTACACTATATTTTCACATTTAACCTAGCTTTTTCGAGAGGAACTGAAGCTGTTATCTCGAAGCCACCAGACCCCACTGACAAAAACAGTAATTTTACTTCCCAGAATAAATGAGTTGCTGGTCTACCACTGCGTTAATTGGAAAGAGTGTAAGGTAAGGCAGAGAAAATATTCCAAATATAGTGTACACTTGAACCAATGTTGATTTTCAAGGTGGCTAAAATACATTTTGCTGCAGCCCCTGTCCACAGCAGTACATTGCTCAGCTTCCGTGCTAGTAAATTTGGTTTATCAAAGATGCTAATACAGTACCCAAAATAAGCACAACAGAAACGTCAGATACTGTAGGCTGGACCACTGTGTTTAACCATATATCTTTATTAAATGTTACAGTTACGGCTGAAAATGACAAAAGAAATCTTTAATGTCATTGCAGTTGAAATCAGTTGCTAGTTATCAACCTGGAAGTGATTGCTGCTGTTAGTGTAACATCACAGTGATTCGGTCTACAGAAAAACAAGCCTAAGAATCTGAGCAAGCATTCAGTGCTGCTCTCAAAAGTGTTCAACATTTTGGGAAATTCACTTAAAACCATAAAACCACGATAAATTGTGGTTTTATGGTGGGGTTGTGTGCCGAAAATCTCTTGGCTAGGAGCAATGACTTCCTGGAATCTTCACTGGTTGCCTGGGAAACCTCATGTTGATAACAAAACTCCAGGAAGTCATTGCAAGACTTCAAGAAAGCCGAAGTATTCCTTACCAAGCTTTGTTTACATGTAGCTGCCAACACTGACAATCGATGCTACAGACACATTTCCAGTGATACTCAGAAAAAAATGTGGTCACACCTAATACTGACACCCAGCACTACCCATGAACACGTACAGCACATCATCGTCTTCCTTACTTGGCTGTGACACAGGCTGGCTGCCACCAATTGGCCTGATTTAACTCTGTCATCTTGGGTACAGAGGCAGCAGTGCCAGACAGACACATCATGTCTTAGATTTGGGTGTCTAGAGAGAGTCTCAGTGAGTGGAATCGAACATTGAGCCCAAAAAAAGAAACAGCTTAAAATAATGCTGCAGAGTCATCTCCACAGTCAAGTAATTGGATGATTTTCTTCCACCACCATCCTGAAAAAGATATTTTAGGAGGAAAGATAGACCTATCCTGCCAGAAGTGAGTGCTGCTGCTAGTCATAAAAGCTCCAAAATCTCAGAGCTTTCCTCCGTGCATTCATCTAAGGCAGTGCACTTACATCTATCTCTTCTCTCCTTTTTTATGCATGCCTTCACTTTCCTTTCTAAGCAAGCGAGAAATGTCCTTTTTCACACTGCTAGAGTAATGACAATACATATCTACTGTAGAATGAAGACTTTCATGCTGCACTATTTCTGTGCTTCTGTGTGTATTACAGAAATGTGTAACATTGCTTTGGCTTCGCCCCCCTGGTGAGCTCTCAGCGTGGCACCCTCCCTTTTATTCTCTTTGGCTGTTTTATCCACTTGGTGCAGAACTATACAACACACACACAACTGCCTACAGAGGACAATGACTACAAAGGGGAAAAAAGTATGTTGCTTCTCAAGGGTTTGCTTAAAGCATGTTAAGGCTAATTCTAAAAAACATGTTACCACAAATAGTTTTTCATACCTCAATTTCTCCCTCGAACTCAGCAGAGTCCAGCAGGGTCACTTTGAAGGGGGCCGTTTTAAGTCGTTTGGAGCCTTTCTGGGGAGATTTGAGGTTCTTGTTTGGGGACGTCTTCTCGGACATGTCATCTGTTTCTCTGTGTTCATCCAGATGCTTGGAGTTCTGTTCCTTGACATAAATGTATAAAAAAAGGAAGGTCAAATGACATAGTTATACATTTCATCTGTCTGATACCTGAGTGGATATTTGAAACAGTTAAAATACTTGGAAGAACTGAATCAGTATCAAGACAGTGCCTTAAGATTAAGTTCTTTGATTATACTGTAGAGGCTTAAGAGAAAGTCAATGGTGTAGAGTCAGCATTGTGACTTTAATAGATATTGGACTTAGGCACTGTATGCAACAAGTCTGCCAATTCAAATACTGAAAAACCTACAGTATAATGTAGATCTACTGGATACTGCATCGACTCCCAGTTAATAGACTAATTAGAGTACAGAACAAACAGAAATCAGTATCACAGCAGTCACTAGTGATGATATCCCTGTATATCATTTTTTTAGAGATTCCCCATACTGCCACAAAGGTGATCAACCATTAGGGGTGCTTATCATTTAAAAAATTATTATACCAGTACCAGTGCCAGTACCCTTAAAGTAATACCAATGCCAATGGAGTACTTCATTTGATACCCATCATGTGAATGGAAGCGTTCTGTTGCGTAAATTGCCACCATACTTTCAAGCATTTTAGTGGCATTTTGTCACGCTAAACTGTGAGCCAATCGCACATCAAATTAAATTGAAGAACACCTGTGGTGATTGGCTCCGAGCAAAACCATACAAAATGTCCTTTAGATCTGGGTCAGTAGTCTAAATATAGACAGGGCGGGCAGTGAGGTTGCGCTAGGGCCCGTTGGGTGGGGGGGCACTTGAGAATGACTCAGATTTCCTCCTAGGAACTACACCTGTGGTTAAAGGAGAACTCACATAAAATTAAAAATGGTGCCAATTACTATAGGCTATACGCCCTTAAAAATGCAAACCCTTCTCTGTCATGATTTTCTTTTCTTTTCTTTGTAAAATACTAGCAAAATGAATTATATATAAATAAAGACTATTCAGTTAAATGAATCATTTCTTTGATATTTTTGTCATATGCAGGTATGCAATGATGATTGTTGGGTAACATGCGATTTGCTGCTGCCCAAAGTCTCTATTTCATTATGTGACAAAACGATACGATCTGAACATAAAGGTGGCAGTAAGAAAGGACAAGGGAGAATCTAACAGGAGGAAAAAGTAGCAAAGCTCCGTAAATAAGATTCCTTTGGCATTTTTTTCATTTGCCAGTGGTGTGTGTAGATGCTTTATAACTAGTAAATACCATGCACTAGGCGTCACAGTAGCGTGCACTGGGGCTCGCTGCAACTACCTTACGCCACCGATGTGGGTACAAAAAGGATGGAAAGCAGGTATTGTTTAACTAGTGTTTTGATACTACTTTGTACTGGGTTAATTCAGTCAATACCTTAGGTATCAAGTCTCAAGTTTTGCTTTTTACACTAAACCAAACAACGAAGTGTGCGATTTTATGTAGCATGCCGGCGTTCCGGAAGCAAAAGAGGAGTGACATGTAACACAACAACATTGGCATCTAGTGTGATACCCTCCCTCGCCTTGAACAGGCTACTGTATAGAGACTCTTGACTCTTCACACTCTTTGGAATAAAGTCTTGATCCCCTTTAAACCAGGCAACTGTTGCAATAAGAAGAAATACTAGTGAGTTAATGAATCCAGATAAAACATAATCACTGTCATCTTCATTATCTACAAGACCCAAAGGCCTGTTGTAAAGGAGGCAATAGAAACAAATGAACCCTATTTTTTCTGCCGTGTAATGATTCTCTCAGCTCAGTAAAACACAGGCTTGGGAGGTGGTTGCATCAGCTCATTGCAGGTTCAAATTTAGCTTAGTTTTAAGCCCGTTTCAAGATTATTTTCCAATTAAAATGGGTTGCACCACATGCACAAACACAGCTCTCACAAAGACATTAGTTATTACTGCTACTGGTTTACTGGACCATCTGACAAAACTAACGTTAACTTGTACCTTTTAGACCTTTTAAGAGTAATACAGAATATGGTCAACATATCTGACCTGAAACTTGATCAAATGCTGTTTGGTAATGATGTAAGATGGGAAGATTTTAAATTACATTAAACAAAATTAACAACATGATTACACCATCATGTGATGTCCTGTGGCCCAAAAATACTTTTTCCCATAGACCTACATCTCTGAAGAGTTGTCTGCCCCCGCAAAATGACTTGTTTCATCAGAATTTGAACCATTCGGTCCAATAACATTTGGAAAGTCTAGTAAAGTCACATTATTGAATCATTATATCCCGATTTAAATTAGCCGAGCGCTGAACCAGAAGTAGCCAGCTCAGCCGGTGGAAGGCAAAGCAAAGCAAGTTATTTATATAGCTAATTTGGCAACAAGGCAATTCAAAGTGCTTTACATCAAAAGCAGAAATCTCTAGTGCACCTGAAGTCTCTAGTGAACCTGCTCTATGAGCCACATGGTGCAGAAGCAGTGCCGATCATAAGGATAATTTTATAAGCAGCAGTTAAACTCTTTTGGCTTCATGCACCATTGAGCAATTTTTATACGAATGAACAGGTCCCTGCCTTCAATGCTGTATCAAGCTCCCTTTATACATCCATGATTTAAAATATTTCTTGAGTATTAGTGGTGCAACCTGGTTTGGTAAATCACTAGTTTGAAGCTAGCTTCCAATTACTAAAACCTTAGAGGACAAATGTTATATACAAACCTCATAATGGGTTTACGGATAGCTGATGAAACTTTAGAAACCCATTACAGCTCTTAGCTAATAAACTAAAAGCTGCTGTTTCCTGTATTTTTACTTCACAAAACCACTGGGAAGTCTGTGGCTTTAACAGTAAACCATTAGTGCAATCAGGGCAATGCTGACCTGTTTAGCCATCTTGCTGTCCGAGGCTGAGTCCTGCATGCCCGCTGCTGCCCCTTGCTGTCTGGGAGGACTCCTATCTTGCACTCTTCCCCTTTCGACTCAGGGCTTGCCTCTCTCGCTTCAGCAAAGTCACACCAACCTGAGGAGAGACAAGAACACAGCAAATATTTTCAAATAGTGTCCCAACTGAGTCGAGCCTCTCTTCAAAATGTCAAAAGCGTTAATGCATGCTTTCTTTCAGCATCAAAAGAGCTGAGATGACAGAAGGAGCTGCAGCTGCAGACTGTGAAAAAATTCCGAACACAAATGCATTCACCCCAAAATAATAATAGCGCTGGCGCCAGGACTACAACTTCATTACAAATTCTGAAAGCTGTAGCTTGATACAACACAATTTCCACAGACATAATTCACCTTGCCGTCAAGGACATTTACTTTAATTATAAAATCCCTCACTGAGCCAGATAATGATCATCTATTTAAGCAAGACAAGCTCCTGCACCGAGATGACAATTAGAAAAAGAAATGAATTAGTGAATTAGGCCATGAGCGCTACCGTCAGTACTCATAGCTATCAACAGTGAATTCCTTCAGTCATAAAGGTGCTAAACCAAGAAACTGATAAGAGTGCTATCACTCATCCCTGAGTGTGTATGAATGCTTGTAATGCTCCAGTCTGTATCGCTCCACGGTGCAATGAACTATTAAGTGCCTAAAATGCATATCTCAGTATTTTAGTATGTAGGCTCACGTCATAGTGTTGTCTTTGATTTGTCTAATAAAAGAAATGTTTGGGCTGTATCAACACAAAGACATTAAATATAATGTTACAGTGTAGCGCAGGCATTTGAGTTATGTGCTTTTGTTTCATTATTTTTCAAGTGTTGTTTTTCCCTTTCTATGCAGCCATTTCCTCACAGCTTAACTCATCAACTTCTACTTCACTTTGTCAATTTCTACATTCTCCTCGAAATGAGCTGGAATTTGTTGCCTTCAGTTGAAGGTTACAGGTGTGGGTGGACTGAACAATAACAACAGCTGAAGTGAAAATAGAGAGCCGCTGCATTGTCAGTTTGATGAGGTGTGTACTGTAAGCACGTCTAAACAGAGGGGGGCTAACAACAACGATCTTGAGGATACGGAGGAAATTATTTGAGACTTTTCACATAGACTAGACTAGTGAGGAGAAATCTTCACTTTTTTTTTTCTCATCAACAAATGATCATTTACTTTCATACCAGGTAACAGTGACATATTCACCATACACAGGCTGTTCTCATGCACTGTTCATATGTACAGTACACCTACGAAAAGTAACATACCACAATTCATATAACCCATGTAATCATGAGCCAGCAATTCATGTATAACTCACATAATGAGGAAGGCTGCGATCACACAACCGATGATCTGACAAGAGTAAAAAAGATAGAAGTACAAATAAGCAGAAGTCCATGTAAGGAGATAGGTTGGTGGATGGGTCAAACAAACACAGGATTTTCCCCGAGGAGACCAGTGTTTGATTTAGTTATTTAAAGGTGCGTCATCACCATTATTTTTCCTAAACTTAATCTATGTTATGTTAAAGCTATAGTGCGTAACTTCTACATGTCCCTAAATGTCCGTTTCACCCAAGCCACTACTAGAGGAGATGACACAATGCTGATTAAGCCGATCGGCTCCTCTAACATCTCGCGGTATTTTTCAATATATATCATTTTTAGTGTACTCTGTGTACATGGAAGTGCTGGCTTATTTGTTGTAATAACGCATTATCCACTGGGGGGGCGACAGAAGTTGCGCACTATAGCTTTAAGTATGTAACTTTATGTTATGTCCATAACGTGACAACGCCATTGATGGGACGCTAATTCATTAGCTATCATACTGGCTGTTGTTTAAGAATATGTTGCAATACATTATGTTTGCAATAGTTTTCCATTTTATGGACATTTTTATACATATATATTTTTCATATGTTTATTTGCTTTATTTGCTGAGAGTTAGATAAGAAGATTGATACATCTCTCATATCTGTCCGGTAAATATGACACTACAGTCAGGAGATGGTTAGCTTAGCTTAACACAAAGAATAGAAACGGGTGGAGACAGCTAGCTTGTTTCTGTCCAAAGTCCATCTAACGGCACCTCTTAAGTGCACTAATGAACATATTATATGTTTACTGACAACAGCAATAACATTGTAGACCCTGTTCCAATGTACTGTTTATACACATACCGATGAAAAGTAGTGCACCACAATTCGTATATATCCCACTTAATCATGATCCAGAAATTCTTGTATAACCAACGTAATTGGGAAAGCTGCACACGTGACCAATGCACTAACAGGAGTAAAGACAGAAGAAGTCCGTGTACGTAGGAAGATGGTGCACAGATCACAAAACACAAGACTTTCCAACACACGACTTTCCCCAAGGAGACCGGTGTTCGGAACAAAGTGAGACCAAATGAATATTCAGTTATTTTAAGGTATGTTGTCACCATGTTTCTTTTCCCAGACCTAACCAAAGTAACTTAACTTGCCTGTACCTAACTTACGTAACATAACATAAAGTACATGACATCATTCGTGGGCACTAATTTGTTAGACATCACATGACCCATTGTATAAGGATATGTTGTGTACTTTTGCTGCATACTATATGATGATTTTAAGGTGCAGTGTATAGGATTTAGTAGGTAGATTTAGTATCATCTAGTGGTGAGGTTACAAATTGCAACCAACAAAAGTTCCCCTTCCTAATCCCATGTCTAAAGAAACTACACCTTCAGGTAATTAGATACAAGAACGGTCCTATCTAGAGCCAGCATTTGGTTTGTCCGTTGTGGGGTACTGTAGAAACAATATGATAGACTCAATGAGAGAGGACCTGCTCCATATGTAGATACGACGGGTTCATTTTAAGTTAATGAAACCACAGAGATTCTTAGTGTAATATGATTACTAACTAATGAAAACATAGTTATGAATATTATACTCCATTTCTGCCAACAGATCCTCCTGAATCCTACACACTGCACCTTTAAGCACTATCCTCTTCCATACATTGATGTAAATGTCTGCAGATTTATTCTGTTACTAATAAAAGACTTGAGTTGTGTTGAAGGATTGGAGCCCCTTTCATGCCAGATTTCATTTGCAGAGCTTAGAAAAGCCAACGTTGTAGAAGTATTTTGTTCTCAATGGAGTTTTATGTAATAATTTATATTATTCTCTGACAAGCCTTGTTTCAGCACCGCAACTGTAGATTTAATGTCTTATAAGCCCACGTGGGCCTGGTACTTTAATGTGTATGAGACAAAAATAAAAATCATATTGTGTGTATTGCATTGTCATCTATTAAGGAGAAATTGGTTTCTCTGCCTCGCCCACAATGGATTTCTCCCTGAATGTCAGTGGAAAGTGGTGAATTAAAACCGAAGCCTCTGTGATTCTGAAGACATAAAAACCATTCAGTGTGAGTGATACTGATAGTTGACAATTTAAACTCCACTGTGGGGATGATATTGTCCATTGTTGGCCACTTATTTAAGAGCAAAAGAAAAAGAAGCTGCACATCGTCCCCCAAAATATTAGGTGCCCTGTGGATAGATTTGTTTGTGACCCAGGGTGGATCTTTTTTCTATTCACTCAGTGTACTCCCCACCAGATGAAAAAGATGTTCATGACCCTGAAACATGTTCCTACATGACCTTTTATAAACGGAAGACAGGGCACGTAATGAATGAACATCCTCAGTGGGATCTGCTCAGCACAGCATATAGGAATAATGCCTGTGTATTATAGAGTTCCCCAGACAATACTCTGGCACCTTGTATTCAATGCAGTCTCTGTATGACCCTGGAGGTCTCTCTGCCCCACGAGTAGCAAATCACATCAACATACTGCAGCTAGGGGTTACAGGCGATCGTGGCTGACGACTGATGCAGGAACACAACCGGTTCACACTGGATCAGAGAAGAGACAACCCCCCTCCGACTTCCAACCAGAGAAGGTCTTGACATATTACACGTGGTTAAATGAGTGTGAAACCCTCCCCACTCACTCCTCCTCCTCCCCCTCCCCCTCCTCCTCCACTGCTGTGCTATCACAACCCTCCCATTACTTACAATCACAGAGATTTGACAGAAATGAATTCCTCTCCTTGGGGAAAAAAGTGAAGCGTGGGGTGGTATGTCCACTCAGGGCCTCATTTTACCCTCGCTGTCTGATCCAGCAGGGCGCTGAGCTTCAAGTTGCTAAATCAATTTTCCCTCACTGGCTGAATCATGGATACGACTGCCAAGTAAACTCCCTGATTGGAGAGGAAAAATTCCATCGGGTACTGTGTTCTGATGGCGAAGGAGGCAAACACTCAGAGCCGCCATGTCCTTCTGTTATCGCGTTCGCCTCCCAGTCCGATTCAGTCAAGCTGAAAATAACGAGCGTCTCCCCTGTGTGCGTTACAGGTGCGCACTTCCTCATTCTGTCCAAGTCAAACAGACGCTGACATCCCCCCTCACTTAACATCCATCTGGGCAGCATGACATGATGCATTCATCTACAGCTGTCTGTGTGAATTTACCTGTCTCAGCTGGGCTGCGTTCGAAGCAACAAATAATCTGAAAACAGCCCATCTAACCATTTCTGTTCCCCACTGTGGACATTTTTCACTTCTGTTCTCAACACAACGAACATACAGCCAACCGTGACGAGTTTTCTAACCGTACCCAAATCGATAGTTACTGTTGCTTTGAAGTGGTTGTAAAAGATTTGTACAATACGTGTCAGCCAGTAATGAAAAAGCCCTTTGAGGATACACGTTGACAAAATTGAGAATACAAATCACATAATCCAAAGTTAGTTTGTAGTAAATGGGGTGCCTTATTGAGACGTCTTCTCATGAAATCAGATTAATTGCCAAATTAATACAGATTGGTGTCATAGCGCGAGGCAGTAGAGCCCTGTAAATCCATTAATTTCCTGTACCAGACCATTACCCACAATCACCTCTGTCAACCCAGCGACCGAGACCTCTGCAGAGAAGAAGAAAGCACCTAATAGTGCGGGAATACACCGCATGTTACCTTTGTTGTACATTGTGTGCAGTTCACTCACAATGTCTGTCTTTGATA